TTCTGTATGCCATGCTGCAAGTGGTCGAAAATGTTTCCTACTTGAATCTGAGAATGTTTTCTTGTCTTGAACGCATTACCTGGTAACAATGCCTTCTCTAGTAATTATTAACTGTCAAGTGAATTGAATGTTTTAAAAGTAGAGTATGAGAAAATCTCAACCAACTGTCAAGACAGGATTTTCAAAACTGAGCCGAGAGGGAGTTGTGCTAGTATCTTTGGATTCTTGCCTTGATCAGCTAGTATGAGGACTAAGCCCATGAGTGTGGATTGCTCAAGCAGTCAGCCAGAGAATCAATGTTCAGTATATTAAAGTATGCTAAAAAAAAAAGCAATGTAAACAATATACATTTATAGTATACACTCTACACATGCAGTTTACACTTTTGTGGGTTTGATTAAATTCTGCAACATTTTTTTTTGTTCCTGGGTTATAAATGTCATTTCCTAATCGGTTCTAACAAAGAAGTTTATTAAACTGCAAAAAAATGTTTTTGAGGGACATCCTGCAGTACATTTTAATATAATTTTTCAAGGAATACTGCATAGAGTCTCAACCAATACAACATATTTTGTGGCAGCCACAAAAATGAAGTTTTTGGAGTATAACAACTATTTTCAAATTAAGTACCACATAAGTAATCAGGGAATAACACTTTCAAATCAGGAACATTTTTCTTTCAATTTTTTTTACCTAGTCTTGTTCAAGGATGTTATTAATATATTCTCTCATGGATGTTGATCATAAAGTTTCCCTGGAGGACTTAGCAATTGTTAGCAAAGCGTTCTTTCAGGTTACAAATACTGATTTCCCGCTACTTCTGCAGGGATTTTGCAGCCCCTAACTACAGTGAATGTGGAATGCTACCTGTATACTTACTACATACTGTACCAGTAAAGAGATATTCAAGTGCATTGTCGATTTTGAATCCTCTGTCCTCACTTAAAGATGGTCAGTAATATACACTGAAATCACACACACACAAACCTCCAATACTGTCATGTGGTCATCAACTGCCTAAGCAGGAATATATTTTAGAGGATTATCTGTGCTATACTTTTACTGTTATATTTTAAATAATGTTAGAAAGTTTTCAAGTACAAATGTTTTAATATGGTAAACTATTTTATCAGTATGCTTTTTTGATACATCTTGTTTTAATTTATATTGTGAGCTGCTATGGCTCCTGTATTAAGAGAAAAGTGGGGTAAAATGCATGTATGTAAACATAATCAGACTGTATTTATTAACTGGTATTTGCAGATAAGTAAAACAGATGAAAAAAGCACATAGGAAACAAAGGCACACAGAGAAGGTGTGCAACTTCAGATTTATCTTGTTGTTTTTTAAATACACTTTAATTCTTGAAAATATGGATCTGAGAACAGGATAGGAATCTGAAATGAGAGAAGACACTTGGTTGCCTATGTGGTTGCAAGCCTTAGTGGACTACAGCTCAATATTAATTTCTACTGAAAATTGAACTTCTCATATTTACCTTGGATGAATAAATTGCACTGCTGTTTTGAGATGAAGAAAGTAAAGAGACAGAAAATTGTTCAGGAATGTCACACACTGCTGGGATTTTATATTGATTTGGGCCACAGGTCCTCAGAACTCCATCTGGAGAGTATTTCAACACTTCCATTGTATAAAGACCAAGGCCTTGTACAAAAGCACCTTCAATCTGAGAAGATAATTATATTTATCTCATATATATCAATCTAAACTCTTAATTTACCATGTTAAAATTGCATTATATCTGACATAGAAATACTTTAGTGGCAAATTCAACACAAACATCTGATCTATTTATTTATTTATTTATTTACTGCATTTATTGACCGCCGCTCTCAGCCCTAGGGCGACTCGCGGCGGGGCACAACATATAAAAACAGTTTACAAAAGGGCAAAACAGGAAATCAATACAACAATAATACACTATAATCTAGTTACACTAAATAATCCGCTCCGTCACATCATAGAATCATAACCAATATCATAATCCGTATTCCGTTCCAGTTGTCAATTACCAGTTGCCGTAGCGCTCAGTTGAATGCCTTCTCAAATAGCCAGGTCTTCAGGCTCTTACGGAAGGACAGAAGGGAGGGCGCCTGTCTGATGTCAGCAGGGAGGTCGTTCCACAGCCGGGGGGCCACCACCGAGAAGGCCCTTTCTCTCGTCCCCGCCAGACGTGCCTGTGAAGCAGGCGGGATCGAGAGAAGGGCCTCCCCAGACGATCTCAAGGTCCTCGTGGGCTCATAGGCCAAGATGCGGTCCGAAAGGTATTTTGGGCCGGAACCGTTTAGGGCTTTGTAGGATAACACCAGCACCTTAAATTGGGCCCGGTAGCAAATCGGCAGCCAGTGGAGCTGGAACAGCAAGGGCGTTGTATGCTCCCTGCGTCCCGCTCCTGTTAGTAACATGGCTGCCGCGCGCTGGACTAGCTGAAGCTTCCGGGCCGTCTTTAAGGGCAGCCCCACGTAGAGAGCGTTGCAGTAGTCAAGGCGGGATGTGACCAGAGCGTGTACCACCATGGCCAAGTCAGACTTCCCAAGGTACGGGCGCAGCTGGCGCACGAGCCTAAGCTGTGCGAATGCTCCCCTGGTCACCGCTGAAACCTGGGGATCCAGGCTCAATGATGAATCCAGGGTCACACCCAAGCTGCGAACCTGCGCCTTCAAGGGGAGTGCGACCCCGTCCAGCACAGGCTGTAACCCTATACCCTGTTCGGCCTTGCGACTGACCAGGAGTACCTCTGTCTAAACAATTTGGGGATCATGAAATGCAGGTTTATACTTATCAAAATATATGGAGAGACACATACAGGGAGGGAGGTCTAGAGATCTTGATGACAAGGACTTGATGCTACAAAATGGTTCATAATGTGAACCATGCCTAAATCACATTTGTAAATTATAAAAAATAATATTAAAATAGCATCTATTAATTTTGTCAAAGTTTAAAAAATCTAATGGTATCCAAAGGTCAAAATAAACACACATTTGTCAGTTTGATGTTTCTTTCTACAATGTCAGTCCCACAATATCTAATCAACCAGGGCATGGGAAGAAGACTGATTTAACCTTTGGCCCTATTGTGGCCCTGGTCAGAATTAGAGGAAGGAATATGCTTGCTACTTAGATGAGAGAAATGTCCATAGACCATGTAGTATGTGATAATATCATGCTTTAGATCAGGGGTCCTCAAACTTTTTAAACAGAGGGCCAGGTCACGGTCCCTCAAACTGTGGGGAGGGTCGGATTATAATTTGGAAAAAAAAATGAATGAATTCCTCTGCACACGGCACATATTTTATTTGTAGTGCAAAAGACACTTAAAAACAATACAATAATTAAAATGAAGAACAATTTTAAGAAATATAAACTTGGAGGGTCGCATCCGGTCCCCGGGCCTTAGTTTGAGGACCCCTGCTTTAGATAGTCTCTTTTTTAAAGAACATTTTAATCTTCAAAGAACTTTCTATACATTACAATAACTTATATGTGCCAATCAAGATTAATTGAAGGTTTTATATATCTAAATCAGGTATGGGCAAACTTCGGCCCTCCAGGTGATTTGGACTTACCGGCTGTTAGGAATTGTGGGAGTTGAAGTCCACTCTAGATCAGTCCATGTCTGATCTACAGTGTACTCAGGCAGAGAGTGAAAATTATTTACAGGTTTATCATAACATATGCTTCAAAACATTTATATAAACAGCAGGACCCTAACATATGTGAATATACATTTAATGTACATTTTCACACTTTTTATATAACACTGAAGGAGCCATCCATCACAAAGTATAAAAGGAAAAGCACCACTAATGTGAGGTGTTTCTACTTCAAAAAATAGAGCAGATACAAGTGATTGATACTTACCTGTCCTATATCAATAGCTGGATTAATGCTGCAACCAACATCCATAACTATATCTGTCCTAATGTTCTTTTCATTTGAAAAGAAAAAGAAAAAAATTACATGGGGTTATTTGTACAGATCAGAGCCTGAAATTCATAAAAAACAAATACAAATGTAATGTATTAGCAATTGAAAAAAATGTAGGCACTTCAAATTTAAATTTGAAAGATAGGAGGGTTTTACTATGAGACATCTTTTTCTCTCCATCTTCTCTCATGCTGATTAAGAACTTGGTCATTGTTTTTATGCCCCATGAAAAGTATTAAATCATATAGACATTTCTGTTTTAAAGCTAGTTCTACTGTTTGTTGTTATTTGCCATCATGTTAGCTTTGAATCATATTGACTCTAAGGTCCCATCTACATTTCCTTATATTCCAGGATCTGATTCCATATTATCTGCTTTAAACTGAATTATACGAGTCTCCACTACCAGATAATCTGGGATAAGTGATAATCTGGGATCAGATCCTGGGATACAAGGACAAGAAAGAATCAGAGATCTCCTTGAGCTCTAGCCTTCAACAGCCCTGCAACCCATCTGTAAAGTGCTCTTCCTCTACCACTGTTGCCTTTCTGAACATTTGCTTTCAGGACAGATATTTATTTGATATAGGCATGAAGACAACCGTGCTGATAATTTGATAGAACAAAAAAGTTCAAGATACTAAATACTGTTATTCTAGGAGCATTCCTTATTCCTAGGACTCTTAACATATATTTGGTTTTGAGAGCAACCTAATTATAATGATCGACATGTAGATAAACAAGTAGCTATCATGGTGTTACTGAACTGTCTGCCTCACCAGCATATCTAGTCATGTGGACTTCAGTCTAAATAGAAAGCCATGTGTTTTGCGATGGAAAAAAATATGGTGGAAAAACTTAATAGACTTTTTAAAAGAGGAAAGTCATAGAAAAATCTCATGTAGTGAAAACTACAGTGAACATGGAATATAAGCAAACTTCTAAGAATCCCATGTTTAGGATGTAATTAGTTTGTTCGGTAAAGTCCAAACAACTTTCAGCACTTGCTCTCAAGCAGTATTATTATACTGTACTTACCTTATGATCTCCTGTCAGACAGTCTATTTCCACTTCTGAACAAGCAGCTCCAAAAACAAAATATTCAAACGGACGTCCTTCTCCCTTCTCCCAGTTCATGTTTGTATCATAACCTCTTAAGAAACAAATGTTTGTAAAACTTGTTAAACACTGTATTAAACTGAATGTTAATTAGTATGAAATAAAGCACAAATAATAATAACAGCAGTATTCGATCTCAGAAGTATAAACTGTTAATAAAAAATTTGAAGGTCCTTTGGCTATATTGCTCATATTTTAAATGTAAATCGGAAATTTAATAAAGATAAAATAAAAAAAATTGAAGGTCCTCATATATATTATTAGAGAGTCTAAACATGGTCAAAGGCTTGTCAGAAAAGCCAGGTCTTTAATTGGGTGTGGAAGGTTTGGAGGGTGGGGGCTATCCTGATCTCCCTCGGGAGGACATTCCAAAGCCCAGGGCCACCACCGAGAAGGTCCTCTCTCTCGTCCCCACCAACCACACTTGAGACAAAGGTGGGACCGAGAGGAGGGTCTCTCCGGTAGAACTTAAAGCCCATGCTGGTTCATAGAAGGAAATGTGTTCTCGAAGATAGCTTGGACCTGAAACATATAGGGCTTTATAGGTAATAACCTGCACTTTGAATTGAGTCCGGAAACTCACTGGCAGCCAGTGCGATCAATAACGTATGTAGTTCAGATCACAGGCAGTTATCCATCTCTGATCTATGCATATTTTGGAATGTTTCATACATATTTCCTTTGTGTTTACCATAGATTCTACTTTCAATATTTATTGTATGACCCAATAAGTTAACAAAGAAGATGGATACAGCATGTCGACTGTCTAAGCTGTGAAATTATTTCCAAATATACCTAATACAGACTACAACAAATAATCCAATTTTAGCCTTCCTCCTGCTCCTACATGCACAAGTCTCTGAACTAAAGCAGTCTCACTACTATAAAGATTAAATTCAATTATTACTAATTACAGTAGGCCCATTAAATAATTAGAAACTAAATTAACAATTTCTTTTAGCCATTTGTCACTTTGGTTTTTTTAAAAAATCCTGGGAATTATGATTCAAGGCATTATTTTTCCAATAGCAATGTTAAGGATAGAAAGTATCGTTTACCTGAAGAAGCCAGTAGCTGAAAGACTAATACTCTGGTGAAAAGCTTCTGTAATCTAAGAAAGAGAAACTTTCTTAAATGGTAAAATAAGGTTTTCCCTGAAACCTATGTATAGTATTACAATGCAATCTTTTAGTTGTATTTTAGTTGTGAAATATCTGCAACACTCTCAATACATTAAGTGAATTTCTATTGCTTGGGGCCAGTGTTTTACTCTGATCACATATGTATTTGTTTTGCATTTTATCTTATTTATATCTGTTCAGTTCTTATAATTAAGGACCCAATGGACAGGGAGAAAACAAAACCAATGCAGAAGGGACTTGAAGTCACGTCTAATTTCAGAATAAATGTGTTTAATGCTAAATAGTACGGAGGCTGTATCCAGCAGTTTAAGAAACAAACTGGCACCTCATGTGGCTTCCAGGAGTGGCAATTCAGCCTCCTTTTAAAATCAGAAATAGGATAGTCTGGGACAATGGGTGGTCAAGGGATGCAAACATTTTGCCCATCTCTGTTAAACACATATGCCATTGGATGACAAAAAGTGATTTCACATAAGATCCTGAAGTCATCAGGATAACAGTATCAGTGATGGTTAGAGTTCTGGTTTCAAGATACATAACAGAGTCATCTGGATGTGTCTGCTGATAGGAACCTAATGGTATAACTTAGTCACAGACATACATTATTACCCAATCTTTCCATTTTCCTTCTGGATTTTCATCCATGATGGGCTGAAGTCGTTTCATAAGAGTTTCACAGGCATTCTGGAGGGAAAAATAATTATAATAATTATTATGTAATAAAAAATCATGAAGGCAAAACAGATTGCTAAAATCATTTTGCTTTAAGAAAACACATTGTACCCTACCACTCTTGACACAGGTGCCAGGGCACCAAAGATAAGGAGCCACCATGACATCAGTTTTGTTGTAACATGGTTAAATAAGTAATTAATTGCTCAGCATTGGTTTCAGCAGCATAGTGACATACAATGCAAGCTGTAATGATCACAGGTAATCACGGGTGCAGAAGAAAGTGCCAGATAAAGATAAGATGCCATGACAGAGTAAATTATCAGTTATTATACATTCCATACGAGCCGGGACCCAATTTGTGTATCCACTGGACCCTACTGTTGCCTCCAGAAACGATGTCCCTCCTGCAGTCCCCTATGTAACCTACAAATCTACTCTAAGTGGCTGGAAATTTATTTGCAATGAGATTTCAATGTTATAGAAGATTTCAGCAGAGGGAAAGGGGGAAAATCTTGAATCAACTGTTGGATACAGAAGAACACAATTTTCTATTATTTATTAATTAAAATATGGATACCCCCCTTCCTATATTATGGGATCTCAGAACAGCAGATAAGGAAACTCAATCAAACAATAATTCAGTCTAACAAGTGGTAAATAATTTGACTAGTTAAACCAGCTTAGATGGCTAAAACAATAAAACCATAGGTAAAGGTAAAGGTTTCCCTTTGACATTAAGTCTATTTGTGTCCGAATCTGGGGGTTGGTGCTCATCTCCATTTCTAAGCCGAAGAGCTGACTTCCAAGGTCATGTGGCTGGCATCACTGCATGGAGCGCCATTACCTTCCCACCGGAGTGGTATCTATTGATCTACTCACATTTGCATGTTTTCAAACTGCTAGGTTAGCAGAAGCTGGGCTTAACAGGGGGGCTCACCCTGCTAACCATACTTAGCCAGATTTTGGGGAAAACAATTAGGCCTTAAAAGCTTTAATTTTTTTAAAAAAAAAAAACATTATTGAACTTGGCACAGGAATGAAGCTAATGCTTGTGCACAAGGGGAAGGCAATTTCCCTTGTCCTCTTGCAATATATTGTTCCTACTAAAGGGAGACAGAAGTATTCTCCTTACTGACCTCTGTCCTCAGATGGACAGATCTGAATCAAACCGATCTCTGATCCAACCTACTAAAATCAGGCCCTGAATTGAATTAACAACTACATATCCAGCCCTTAGGGACACCTAAATTATATAGAGCACGTCTGAATAAAAGAAATCCATTTCAAAATATCAATTGGAATTTTGAAATTTTGCAAAATATATATATGTAATTTTAGAAAGCAGCAAATACACATGAAATTATTCAAAGCTTTGCCCTGAAATCATGTTTCAACGCTATCAAATCCAAAATAAAGACAATGTGAGGCGATTCTGCTGTTTGTGGCCGAAATATATGAAAAGAAATATGTTGCACATCATTTAGCATCAAATGATAAGACACAGAAGCAGAAATATACACAACCTTCACTGCCATCCCATTAATGTCAGTACCAATAGAGGCTGCTGTAGGTCTTGTATTAGGCACAGTCACTGTACTCGTTTCACTGATATAAATATAAGACATTGGTATCTTTAATTCACGACTGGCGATCTGTTAGGAACACAATAGTCAGTAAATCATTTTCTTAATATATTGTCATTATTATTGTTTATTTTTTTTATGGCAGATAACCTTGAACACTTGTAAGAGTTGCTTCTTGTTTGACAGAACATTTGGGAAATAGTAGGGACTGCACTGTAAACTAAAACCTATATCTCCTTCCTTTGCTAAGATTACTATATACAAGATTACTATACACACACACATACATATACACACATACATAGTCTGATGCTGGAAAAGAGTGAGATAATGATCTTTTCAGTATTTATCTCCACATCCACTTCCAGTTAGGGAGATTATGCACAAGCCGCATTGGAGCATATGTCTTTGATACAATGGAAACTCGGTGAAGGTTTGACCTTTAAAAATATTCATAGCTAGACAACATGTAATGCTTCAGAGTAAGCCAAAATGAAAATGACTGCATTTATAAAATGTGTCCAAAATATGTTCCTTAAGTTGATGAAACAATAACATTAGCAAATAAGGGAAAAATCTTTTCATTTCTGTTCATATCACTTCTTTCTCAAAAATAATTCATGTTATGATGCTGAGCCAACTTTTATCATTTGAGAAAGAGTGGAAGACAGCTTGGAGGTTGTGAATGCCTTATTTCCCTCTCTGTCTCTAACATGACCACAAAGAGCAAATAGAAGGTTTTCCTACTGCTTCAGATGGCAGTGTTTACAGAACGGATGGGCAACTGCAATTGAACCAAGAGCCAATTTTCTGTCTCAGAACACTCTGGCAACTTCAAAGACTGGGGAACAACATACTGTATATACTTGAGTATAAGCCTAGATTTTCAGCCCATTTTTTAGCCTGAAAAAACTCCCCTCGGCTTATACTCGAGTGAGGATCCTAGTGGGAAAGCATGGGACTGAAAGAAGCCCTTCTTTCAGCCACAAGCTTTCCAGACAGGACCCTCACCTCTTTGCACAGCAACTCAGCGTGCCTTCTTCTCCTCCCCTTTCGGTACAGTGACCCAGCTGGATTGCTATGCCGAGAGAGGAGGAGAGGCCGCGCGCCTTCCTCTCCTCAGTCCTTCCCACTTCCTCTATTCCCACCTCAGTTTTTTCCTCATTTTTCGAGCACTCCTTTCCCATCTCAATCTTCCTTTTCTAGTTTCTGCCTTCCTATCCCAGTCTTTACTGTCCCCAGCCCTTCTCTCCCACTTTTCCAGCTCCCTTTCCATCCCAGCCTTTCCCAGGTTCCAGCTTCTTTCCCATTTCAGTCTTGCCCTCTTTCCCACTGCAGTTTCCCACTTTTCCAGCCCCCCTTTCTCACCTCTATCTTTCCCACTTTCCCAGCCCCCTTTCTCACCTCAGTCTTTCCTAATTCTCCACTTGTCTCTTCCCACTCCAATCTTTCCACCTTTCCACCCACCTTTTTGCACTCCAGTCTTGCTCATTTTGCAATCTTCCTTTCCCCATCCCAATCTTTTCCAATTGCCCCTCTTTCCCATTCAAGTTTGCCCAGCTTTTCCCAATCCCCCCATTCTTGACTGGGATCTTTCCCACTTTTCCAGGCCTCCTTCCCATCCCAACTTTGCCCAGTTTCCAGCTCCACTTTTCACACCTCAGCCGTTCCTCCTTCCCCAGCTGTCCCCTTCCCACTCCAATATGTCCTATTTTTCCAGCTACCCCCTTTCAACCTAATTTTTCCACTTTCAACCACCCCTTCCCATTCCAACCTTTTCACATGTCCAGTCCTTCTTTCCCACCCCCTTCCCACGCTACTTTCCCACTTTTCCTTATTCATATACACACAACATTTCCCCCAAAATGTATAGTTACAATACACTATGGTGATTATTGGAAGGATACATAAGCACATTTACACAGAAGAGGGTTAGAATAATGATTTAATCAGAGTTGGACAGTCTTCAGTTTTATGTAAATATTCAAAAACATTTAACTTACTGATGCCTCAATGAATGTAATTTTATTGGTATCTATTTTTATTTTGAAATTTACCAGTAGTAGTTGTATTTCCCATGCTTGGCTTATACTCAAGTCAATATAAATTTTCCCAGTTTTTTTGTGGCAAAATTAGATGCCTCAGCTTATATTTGGGTTGGCTTATACTCGAGTATATATGGTAATTGGCTCTAAGTCCACTTCTAGATTTGAAAAAAATATATAGACTCTGCTTACACAAGGCCCTTGTACAAAGCCGGAATCCCAGAAACATCCATATTAATTATCTGCCTAGCCAATGACAACATGCAGCAGGGTGGGCAACCTGGAAATGGCTGGGGGATAAACTGCTGAGGAAAAACTCATTAGGCCCTGGATATGTGACTAGCCTTCTTTCTCATTCACTATGCATCTACAAATATTCCAATATTTGAAAAAATCTAAAAAGCTGCACTCAAGGGAGACTCAACCTGTGTATACATCTATGTATAAATGGACACTTAAATAAACACCAGAACATACTATTAAAATCACAGCTTCTTCAACACTGAATAAATCTTGGCATGCCCAAGAATGTGTGTGAATGCATATTACCTGCATAATTTTGGTGTGAATCCCTTGTCCTAGTTCAACACCACCATGAGTCACCAATACATGCCCATCTAAGTAGATATGAACAAGAGCTGCAGCCTGTTAATTTTAGAATAAGAAATTAATTAGGTATGTGTGTGTGTATATATATATATATGTATGTATATATGTATATATGTATGTGTGCGTAAAAGCTTATGTCATTGTGAACTAAAATAAAGTTACCACAATTTGGACTACTTATGTTGAGAGAGATGAGCAATAAACACTGAGGTACACAAATTGCCAGTTTCAATGGCTGCTCCAGCTGGTTTGTTGGAACAGAAACAAAAATAAGTCTTGTGGCATTTTAAAAACTATGAGATTGATTTTGGCATAAGCTTTCACTTCCGCACACACAATGAAGTATACATACATGAACATGAAGACCTGGGTTTTTTGTTTTGTTTTATAAGTGTGTTTTATAAGTGTTTTATAAGCTGCGCTTCAAACCTCAAAGTCACTATTCTTCATTTAAAAAGTTTCAAAGTATAGCATGACATTTTCTTCATGGTCTCTTACACAGAAACATAAAATGGGGGAAACCTTGTAAGCCAAGCATTTATCCAAGAGATAGCCTGCAATATTTCTATGCACAGACTAGCCCCTGGATATCATCTCTTTTATTCCAAAATATTTTGGAATAAATAATTTTAACATTACATAACATTATTCCAAAATATTTTGGAATAAATAATTTTAACATTACATATTTTAATAACTTGCATGGAAAGGTTATCCAGATACCTAAATATATAATGATAAATACAATCAGAATAGCCTGTTTTCAAAACCAACCTGATTAAGAAACTTCGGTTCAAATCCTATTGAATATTTCAATGGAATAATGGCAATCCCTTTCTTTTTCCAGTAATTGTACTTATTAAAATCTTCCACATCTTCCTTCCTTCTGTAAAAACATGACTTCTTCATGCACTCAATCCAGCATCTTATCAAGTTCTTTGGGTTCACTTCTTGATTGTAATGTGTTCTATCAAGTGTTTTGTACATATTTTTTTCTCTGATCTGAAACAACAAATGGAATACTATACAAAGATACTGCCCTATATTTCTAGGATTTTTCAAACTGAATTGAACATTTCTTATTTGACAACTGAAAGCTAGTTCTCCCATTGCCGTTTGCAACTCTTTCATTCACATCACACATTCTTGCATGTAAACTTGTACGCCATACATCTCAGCCACAGTAGCAGTATTTCATCCAGACAGATAAATGCAAACACCATTGTGGTTCATATCCAATATTCTACTAATTCACATGCCCCTAACAAGTAGGTGATTCCTGCCAGCAAAATAAAAATACATTCTCAGTATCAGATGTAACTTTCTACAGGAAAGTAAAATATTTGTAGTGATTCTTGCTGTAAAAGCAATTATTCTATTTAGGTCTAGCCATCCCTGCCACGCGTTGCTGTGGCCCTGTCTGTGTATATGTGGTTTTTTTGCGTATATATATGTATATGTGTTTGTATATGTTTTGTATATGTGTATATAACTGTGTTTGTGCATGCATTGTAATGCATTTTTTGTTTTTTGGCTTTTTAAGTCTCTTCTGTTGTGTTTTTCAATGTTTTTATGAGTGATGGCCATTTGTTGGCCTGATAGGTGTATTGTGTCCAAATTTGGTGTCAATTAGTCCAGTGGTTTTTGAGCTATGTTAATTCCACAAACAAACATTCCATTTTTATTTATATAAATTTAAAAAATTAAAAACCCAAAGAATGTTCTTATTGTTACCTTTTCTGGTGGTAAACCTGTTTTGGTTGCTATATCTGTTATCAGTGTCTCTGTAACAAGGGCTGACTGAGGAAATCCAAATCCTCTGAACGCTGTGTTTGATGGCAAGTTTGTCCTGCAGGCACATCCTTGGCATAGTAAGTTGGGGATCTTGTAAGCATTATCCATCCTTAGCAATGCATTCTCCATTACCTTTAGGAAACGAAAATCATAGATTTAATATCCAACTTTATATGTGTATGAGAGACTGTTTTTAACCTGAATAGAGAATAAATGTACAAAGTTCCTCAGTGAAGTGTCCTATTTATCTTAAGCTACCACAAGGAAGGCAGCAGGCTATTTGCACATCACTCTGTATGATAATCAGTGACAGTGGGTAACAATAGTTTTCTCCCCTTTGGAAAGACTAGTGATGTTTGGAGTAAGATATACACCCATATACTTTCAGGAGAGCTTGCAAGTGTTACAGTACTTTCCAACTGGGCCTCAGCAGCTATGCTTGCAAGTCCAGTTTAGAGAGTTTTTATTGCTTTTACTTCTTTGCTTTCCCCCCATATGCTGTGATTGAATCCAGTTGAGATTCAGCAGCAGTGCTTACAAATCTAGAGGATATTGCCCTCAGTGTGGAAAAATAAAATAAAATAGTATTAAAACTTAAGTTCTTCTTTTGGAGTTTCACCTGGAAGTCCAATTCTGATGTCATTTTCAATGGATTACATCATCTTCATTTTGAAAATGTTGATTAAACATCCATGATGTCAAAACTTGGTCGCTTCTACTATGTCGGCTATTGCTGCTATTGCAATGTAAATTGGCAGAAAGGTAGGTAATGATAGGGTGAATAAATTATCAAAATTTGGTTGAGATGGTGCTTGCAGTTCTGGAAAAACTCTTTTTTTTTTTTTTTTTTTTTTGCTCCTCATAGATTTAGCATGGATATTTGGTAACCAGTGAAAAATAATGAGTACACCAGGGTTTATTTTAGCCTGAAAATATTCAGGGGGAGGTGTTGAACCTGTATTCCTCCCTTTGACTATGGGTTTGGTCACAGCAGAACTACAGACTGAGTGATTTTGTAATTAGTTTTAGAAATGCAACATACCGTAACAGATTCATCTGGTGTACATCCAGCATTACTGTAGTACCTCACATCCAGAGCCACAATTGTGCCATCATTCATAAATCCAACCTACGGAAATTTTCAGTTGTCTCGTCAGTTATTGGAGTACTGATGACATTTGAGTCTTTATAACTTAATAAAGTATGTCCACAGAAGACAATATTCATTCAATAGCATTTGTGTTTGTACGTGTAAAGCTGACACTCACTTCAGATGCCATGACAAACAATGAAAGTTTGACTACAGTAGTCACTATATCTGTTCCAAATAGATGAGCCATGGTTTGAAACCAGCCATTCCCTCCAGCCTCCCCCCCCCCCCCCCCCCCCCCCCCGCCAACTTACCCAAGGGACCTGCTGGCAGCACACATCCCTCTGCAAGTTCCTCTTGATGCGCAAAAATGACACATCAGGAGGTGGTGGGGGGGGGGATGTGGGATTTCCCTCCTACCCACATTCTGACACATTATTTTCTTACAGCAGGAGTACTCTGCAGGCTGCTCAGGTAGGTCTTGGAGAGGGGAATGGGAGGCTTGGGGGGGGGGGAGAGGGTGGGCATCATCTTTCTTTTGGGCTCCAGGAGCCCAAAGAACAAAGATGGTTGTGGGTATTGACCTCCAGGACTGCAGAAGTAGTCCCAGGAGTCAATCCCCACAGGACCCACACCTGAAAAGATCTGGACTTTAGCTTGAGGTCTGGATCTTTCCAGGATTTTTATTAATCCAGAACAAACTGGGAAATTCAGGTTTTCTCTGGATTGATTCAGTTTTACCTGAGGTGTCATTTGGACACTTCAGGTAAAACTGAGACAGGTCCCAGGATATGGGCCTGCCTGGAAGGGCCCTGAAAATACATAATCATACTGGCTCAGCTAAAAAAAAACTGCATTGTAAGGATATTATCTATAGGTCAAAATTTAGCAGAGCTTATTGATTGCAAGTAAACAGATTACCTATAATGTTATGATTAGGTGTAACCGTATCATAATATTTCATTTACGAATAACCTTTGCAAAAAACCTTTTTATATAACAAGTAAGAATTATTAATTAATCTTTCTCCCTATTTTTTCAAAGTAAAAATGCTTTCTTAAAGCATTTTGAGGACCTTCCCCCATTTTAGTTCATTTGCTTACTTTTAGATATATTTTAAATGTTGACAAGATTTTTTTTAAAAAAACTGATTTTTAAAGATAACCTCATTTTAAGAGCCAATAAATTGTTCACTTACTTTATATCTTCCAAGGAAAGGATGTCTTCCCCCAGTTATCAACATATCATCCCCTCGATCCAGAACACAACGAACTGCATGGCCAGTTCTAAAAAGAATAAGAAGTAAAGATGGAAATCGATTAGTGCCATTCTCAACTGCGATTTCCCAATCAGATGCATCATCTGGATAACTGCAAAACTGGTTTACAGCATGGCCACATATTTATTTATTTATTTATTTATTTGCGGCATTTAGATGCCGCCCTTCTCACCCTGAAGGGGACTCAGTGCAGCTTACAATATATATTTTCATACAATATATTATATTATTAGCATAGTACAATATCAGTATTATATATTACTATATTGCACTATACCATTATATTGTACTATTATTAGTAATATTACATGTAATGTAAATATATAATTATAATTATAATATTGTATTTTTATTACTAGTATTATATTGTATTACATTATAATATTATAAATATTGTATGTATATACAATATACTATATTATATTATTAGTAAAGACAAGATGGAAATGTCTTCTGCTCCCCTCTGTCTTCGCTCTGGTCAGAGTAGCAGTTGGCGCCACATTTATTGGAGCTTACCCCATTAGTAATGAACACTGTTTTAACTGAGTGTTAGTTGTTTATATGCCTATATGTTTTATTTAATTGTATTTTTAAAATGTTTTCATTTTATGTTCTGTTTTTAGGCACCTTGTGCTGTGTTGTAAGCTGCCCTGAGTCCCTTCAGGAAGATGGTCGCAGGATACAATCATAAAGAAGTTGTTGTTGTTGTTGTTGTTGAAGTCCAAAACACCCGGAGGGCTGAAGTTGCCTACTCCTGATTTAAACCATCCTTTTTAAAAACAGCATACTTACTTATTTGCTGCTACTGCAGTGATAGCAGCCAGAATAGCAGGTTTGGTGACTTTACCGCCAAATCCACCACCAACCCGTTTTATATGACATCTGATCCTGTTATGTGGAATATTTAAAACAGAGGCCACAAGTTCCTGTAAAGTCAAACCAAGACATATGAAGTGATGTTGCATATCATCTGTTCCTTCAGTTTGGCGCCTTGGCCTAATAACATTAGCCCATCCTTTCACACCTCTCCCTTTTCCTCTCTCTTCCATGCATGTTTTGATGCAACTATTGTTATAGACGCCCATTGCCCATGTACAGCAACTACTAGGCTTTCATACAAATCATGCATATTGCTATTGACCTCCAGGTAGTTTTAAAGGGCCCAGATGAAGAGCTGTGCATCCAGTTTTTTCATCACATATGTATCTTCGTAGTTGGCTATTTAATATAAATATTAGCTACTACTATTGGATTGTGTAATTTCCCTGTTACAATAAGGATTTTAGTAAGATTTCCAAGAGGAGGAAGTTACTCTAGGTCAAGAAAATTCTTTGATGTGCTCTCAAAATAAAAGGCAGCACTATTCTAATGTCTTCCCATTAGTGATACATAGTTTGGGGTAGGCTGTCAGAAGCCTAAACACCCCAACTGTTGTGTATAGAATTGGTTTCAGCACTGAAGCAGTAGGCTCAATTTCTATCACTTCTCCATAAGGTTGAACTCTAAGAACTCCATTTTTTTTTCATGTCAGGAGTGACTTGACAAACTGCAAGTCGCTTCTGGTGTGAGAGAATTGGCTGTCTGCAAGGATGTTGCCCAGGTGAGGCCCTGATGTTTTGATGTTTTACCATCCTTGCGGGACGCTTCTCTCATGTCCCCGAATGGAGAACTGGAGCTGACAGAGGGAGCTCATCCACACTCTCCCCGGATTTGAACTGCTGACCTGTGCACAAGGGTTTAACCCATTGAGCCACCTCATTCAGGACTCTATCACATTGGGATATACTCAATTTCTAAGACTCTGAACACAATTCTGAACAGGTCCTGTCACATGACTTTTCCTTGGAATCCGTCTGCAAAATGTCACAGAAACAGAGTAATGGGATTTTAATTGTGGTTTTTGATTTACTATGATTTAATATGTTACTGAGGCACTGTTTTTACGTGTGATCAGAAAATCAGTATGTATTCCATCAACTAAAATCTTGTGAGAATGGTAGTTCGAGACTTCCAGGCTATATCACTCCGCAATATTAGATTATTTTTTTTAAAAGTGACATAGGGAGGCATTTGAACAGAAGGAGGAGCCAGCCTTCTTTGGTGTGATGAGTCAAAGCACAGTATTTCCACATCATAAGAATACAATATGCATCCAAATCCTTAAAAAAATTGGGATCCATACTGATATAAATGGATTATATCCCAATGTGATAATGTCCTCAATCTCTGTCAAGATTATTAGAACTTTGGGTAGGACATTGAGGTAAATAAAATATGATTCCCAGAAAAAAAAATGTGTTCACTTCAATAATATCACACAGCTCCATGAGGCTAAAGATAAGAATTTGTGTACATATGCTCTGAGCTTTCAGGTAATTTCAGACTTATAAGAGCCATTGCCATTGCCTTTCTTAGAGGCTGACAGAATTATGAGTTGTCTAAAGGATTTCCATAGCTGAGCAGGAATTCAGTCTCTAGTTTCCCTATGCTGGCTATTCTTGACTTACATGCATAACCTTTATTTATTTATTTATTTATTTATTATTTGCACTTATTGACCGCCACTCTCAGCCCGAAGGCGACTCGTGGCGGTGTACAAAACATAGAACATACAGACGACAGTTACAGTAATCAGGTCCATAACACAACATCTTACTAACATACAACTACTTAACTAAAAATCCGCTTCGTCTTGTTTGGGTCATAATCGGTCTCATAGTCATAATCCATTCCGGTGGTCATTCCAAAACATAGCACTTAATTGAAGGCCTTTTCAAAGAGCCAAGTTTTCAGGCCCTTGCGGAAGGCCATGAGGGAAGGCGCCTGTCTAATTTCGGCAGGGAGGGCGTTCCATAGCCGGGGGGCCACCACCGAGAAGGCCCGCTCTCTAGTCCCCGCCAAGCGTGCCTGTGAGGCAGGCGGGACCGAGAGAAGGGCCTCTCCGGATGATCTCAAGGTCCTCGTGGGCTCGTAGGCCGAGATGCGGTACTCAAGGTATTTTGGGCCGGAACCGTTTAGGGCTTTGTAGGTTAGCACCAGCACCTTGAATTGGGCCCGGTAGCTGATCGGCAGCCAGTGGAGCTGGGACAGCAAGGGCGTTGTGCGCTCCCTGCGTCCCGCTCCGGTTAACAACATGGCTGCCGCGCGCTGGACTAGCTGGAGCTTCCGGGCCGTCTTCAAGGGCAGCCCCACGTAGAGAGCTGACATATGTTTCTGACATATTACAGAACCTGAATATGGTAGAATGAATATGGTAGAATGCAATTGCCAGACACTGAGGTTGAGTCTATATATACAAGGTATGGGCCCTTCATTCCACTGTCTGACCCCCCCCCCCTTTTTTTTTTTTGTATTTGAATTGGCTTCTTTTGGCCTAGTTCTCATAGGCAGCAAATGAGGTGATAAGGCTATGAGTAAGTGTACTACATCATATGATAGGGCAGGAAAGTGGCTTCTCTCATTAAAATATTGTGATACATTTCTACATTATTAGCATTATAACCCCAATGTTACCTGTGTAAAACTTGGATGCTGTGAGGACACATAAATATCTATTTCTTTATCTTCTCTCTTTGGAACAACAAGGACACTTTGAGTTTCCATGTAGAAATGTTCCTGCCCCCCAATATGAATTTCACCTAGTTCCAAAAAAATAAATAAATCAAATAATAAATATCTGATGAGACTTATAATCAAAAGAAATATACATTGTCAAAAAAACAAAAGAATAATTGGAAAACTAAATGTTTTGTGGGTATTGTTAAGCTTCTATAGCCAGGAGCTAATGGTGTGCTTTGGCTAGATCTCACTACTTCCACCCAGGATTAGTGATCCCTACTGCAACTTCTTTCTTCTCCTCTCATCGTCCTCGTCCTCCTCCCTCCATCCCTCCTAGGTTTTCAAAAATAACTGTTCTGGGAGCTGGAAAATTTAGGGGGTACAAACTCCTAGTTCCATACAGATTGGATTACATGATTAGTACCCTTATTGATCTCACTGTGGGAGAAGACGCAAATCAAGAATAGGGCTCCACAGTCACCTATGGACCCACCACCAGGACACTACACTTGGAGGACCATCATCCTCATACTACGAGGGATCACCTAAGTAAGTACCCTTATTGATCAGGATATTGCACAATGTCACTGAAGACAAGTCTGCTTGGCACAATTCAAAATAATTCAATGGATCTTCTTTGTGGGTTGTTGTAGGTTTTTTCAGGCTATATGGCCATGGTCTAGAGGCATTCTCTCCTGACGTTTCGCCTGCATCTATGGCAAGCATCCTCAGAGGTAGCGAGGTCTGTTGGAACTAGGAAAAAGGGTTTATATATCTGTTGAATGACCAGGGTGAGACAAAGGGCTCTTGTCTGCTGGAGCTAGGTGTGAATGTTTCAACTGACCACTTTGATTAGCATATAATGTCCTGACAGTGCCTAGAGCAAACTTTTGTTGTGAGGTAATTAGATCTTCTTTGTGTTATTTAAATTGATTGAGACCTCAGGCAGCTCTGAAGTCCGATGTAGGTCAGAATATAAATATTTGAATACATAAAATAAAGTAAAATAAATTCAGTATTGTAGATGTCTAGAAGGGGGATCCAATCCAACACAGACAGGAAGAATGTTGTCAACAGATCTGGAGTTTCTACTTGTCCAAAGTAGATCTGATATTAATTAAATTTAATTCTACTATTTTGCTATGAAATTCTGTCTGTAGGAAAGCACAATCATTCAAGGAATCATGGAGGAACTTTGGCAAAGGAAAAGCAACACTCATACACCCAATTAAAGAAAAGGTTGCTCAGACATTTCACTGAATGCTATTTACACAGCATAAGAACACACACAATTACTATTATATTTACTTTGGAAATGAATTTCTTGGGGTCAGTAATTATATCTCAACAATGGTTTACCCAATTGAATAGGTTCAGTGTGGTAAAGCAAAGACTAAGGAAGATGACATGACGGTACTCTTCAGAAACCTCTATGGCTGTCACAGGGAGGAGGGGAAAACCTATTATCAGCTACCCCAGAAGGTTGGGGAGGTAGATTTAAATTGCCGAGAAGTCCTTTTTCAATTTTGAGAGGTTTGGCAATAGAATCAATTGTCTGGGGAAGCAGAAGGGGCTCCATCTCTGGTCATCTTCAAATAGATGCTGGAAAGTTCCCTCCTGGGGACAATTTAGATGAGGATTCTGCACTATGGAGTGAGTTAGATCTGAGGGCTCATGGGGCTCCCTCCAACTCTGTGATTTGAGGACTATTATTTGGCCTGATCACTCCTTCTCATGGGTTTGCTGTGCAGAATTTATAAATGGGGAAAGTGAAAGAACTATGTATACTGCATTATCTCCTTGGAGATCAATGCAGTATACATAGTTCTTTCACCTTCCCCATGTGTGATACATTGGGATGTACATTAAGTAAAAAGACCTAAAGTGTTGAAGCCTGCATGTTAAGTTCTTTGAATATTCTAGCACATCATCTATATATTAACTACAGTTAAGTGCCAGAGACTGTGACCCCATCTACAGCCATATAATGCAGTTTGAACTCCATTGTATGGTCAGTGTAGGCTCATATAATGCAGACTGAACTGCATTAAACTGGATTGTTTGAGTTGACATTGTCATATAATGCAATTCAATTTAGATTATAGTGGCAGTGTAGATGTGGCCTGTGTGAATACAACAAGGAGTATGAAACACCACTGCAAGAAAACACTGGCATATATTGTCTTTCATTCATGTATATTTCTGCAGAAACAGAACTGCTAAAAAATACTATATTTTCTTTATTATAAGATGCTATCGATTGCAAGGCATGTACCAATTCCAATGTAAGTACCACCATCAGAAATATGGTGTATGTGCACTCACACACCAGTAGTAGTAGTAGTAGTAGTAGTAACAATAATAATAATAATTTATGTATAACCCACCCTATCTTTATTTATAACGTGCCCTGAGGGAATTCAGGGCAGATTCCGGTGGAAATAACATAGTGGCAAACATTGAATGCCAAAAACAACATGTAACAAATCAAACACTAAGGTTTTTAGTTTTTTGGGTTTTTTTTTTGTCGTTTCAGGAGCAACTTGAGAAACTGCAAGTCGCTTCTGGTGTGAGAGAATTGGCCGTCTGCAAGGACGTTGCCCAGGGGACGCCCGGATGATTTGATGTTTTATCATCCTTGTGGGAGGCTTCTCTCATGTCCCCGTATGAGGAGCTGGAGCTGATAGAGGGAGCTCATCCGCCTCTCCCCGGATTCGAACCTGTGACCTGTCAGTCTTGAGTTCTGCCGCCACAGGGGTTTAACACACTGCGCCACCAGGGGCTAACGAACAGTATATAAAAAAGCATCTGCAATTCTAAGACACACCCTGTTTTTAGAGATGTTTGGGAGAAGAAAGAAGGCCTTGGAATACAAGAAATGCAGGATTTATAGTCGCTGCTAATTCAAACAGATATAATAATCCCAGAGGTTTTTTTAAAGGCCACATCCCAATATTGTCAAGAAACATACATATTCCTACTAATGCACTCTTAATGTTTGATTATGAAATTACGATATGCTAGAGCAAACCACCCTGTTCATACATATCCTGTTGAGTGCTCAAGGGAAATTCACAAGCTGAACAGATGAGCAAAACAACTTTCCCTAGATAAAGGCCACCTTAACATTTGAAAGAGATGAAATAATGGATATTTGTTCTTTTTCTTGTATTATTTTACTGTAACATAGCATTTTAATTCTTAAGACTTCTATCTTCATCTGGTCCTATTGTTATTCTTTTAGGAATGCTGTTGTATTCAATTCTTTATTTGTGTACATCAAGGCTAGTTTGTTTGATTTCAGTAGCACCTATTATTACCAGGTAACGAGTACTTGCAAATATTTTGCAGAAGGAGAAACAGTGGAAAATCTTCCTTTTTCTCTGCAGCATTTGTACAGATTTACCTTCAAGAATATGTTCTGCCACAAGAAATCCTTTTTGAACATTTCCTTGCTCAAGTTTTCTTTCTGGACTGAAGAACAACTTACGTTCTATTGCTTCCTGCAATTGCAGTTGGAAAAGAAATAATTAAAATTTATCTTTGAAATCATCTTTTGGATACTTGTGTTCCTTGGTAAGCTACTCTTGGAAAGATGACATGTAGTCTGACAATATTACTCAAACCCAGCTGTTGAAAATAATTTTGTGGAATCTGGAAACTTTTGAGGTGACACTTCATTTTCAATGAGACAGAGGCACCATAGGAATTACCTCAATAGTCAGAACAACTGGTTCCAGATCTTTGTATATTATTTTTACTGTTGAGGTTGCACGTTTAGCGTGAGCAGAAGAAACAGCAATCACGGCACCAATTATCTGACCCACACAGGTTACCTGCAAAATATTTGAAACATTATACACAGAGAGATGTGGGGAGAATAAATAAAAATAAAGAAAAATATTTGCTTGATTCTAGTAGGTGTGTCAAGCATGAAAATAACAGGTTGAATCTCCCCTATCCAAAAAGCTTAGGAGCGAAGGGTTTCCCCCCTAAATTTTGGAATACCTGCATCTGGACATTGCATATTGAATAAAGGATAATAATTTCACTTTTTGCAAGGGCCTTGTCTATGTTAGTTCCTCCCGACTTCTCCCATTTCTTTCCTCTGTCAGGGCTCCTTGAAGAAAAACCCAATGAGTGCTGGACATGTGACTAGCCCTCTTTCCTCAAAGGTGAAAGTGGATAACAACAAAGAGAGTTTCCGTTTTTGGTGAGTTTTGGATTTCCAGATAATGAAGAATCAACTTGCGACAGTATTGCGTATAAGAAGGTATATCCATTTTTCTTCTTTCTGAATGGATTGTGCTTGAGCATATAATGATATTGATCAAAACTAACTGTGGACACAATGCATGTCAAGTTAAAAACATGTAGGTTCCTGTAGCAAAAATAGTAACTTTTCTAAATTTTGCTCTCATTGTTGGCTGACAATATTCAGAAATAGTTTCCAGATACCTCATGTTTCCAATAAGGCCCTTCTACACTACCATATAAAATCCAGGTTATCTGCTTGAATGGGATTATATGGCAGTGTAGACTCATATAATCCAGTTCAAAGCAAACAATATGGATTATCTGTTTTAATAATCTGGAATATATAAAAATAATTCTAGTCGCTGTTGCAAAGAAGGTAAACAATTTTTCAGTATTAGTATCTTTAAATATATCTGATTCAAACATTCCTAGTAAATACATTTCTAGTTGCATAGGGAAATTTATGTTTATTTTTTTTTTACATACTGCATGTATCATTTTCCAATATTCAGTATTGGAATTTTTATCAAAAAAAATTCCAGTATGTTGCCGTCATTAATGGAAATTTACTTCTCACAAAACAAACATGCATTTATTTTTGCTTAGAAATGAACTGATAAACAACATATGAACAATACCTTATCTGTCACAAGCAAACTTTCTGGTTCACTGATGCAACAGAATTCATTTCTACCTGGCACATCTTTCACCGTTATCACATCAATCACCCCAGGCAACTGAAGAGTTTCTGATACATCAATTGATCTGAGAAGCAAAAGCAAAATTATCAAATAAAAACCATAAATATACTTGGTAGATAAATAGTTCTTTATCATTTCAACATAACTGCAGCCAAATTGCATCATAAAGTTATTCTTACTTAACCACTGCTGAATATTCTGCAAGCTAAACAAATGGGGCTTGATTAGATTGTGGCTTGATATATTAAAAAAATCAATTACAGAAATATTAGTGAAAGATGTAATTAAATAAAAGACTGCCAGCATGGGTAGAGTATGATTTTTCTATAAAGTTTAAATTCCCTAATCCAGCTCAGTGTGGATGTAGTAGGCATATGCACTAGGAAGTAAGTTTAAAAGAACTAATAACTGATGTGACCTGTATGTGCAAATGGCACAAATTCATTCCATTTCTAAACAGACATTCAGTGTCCCATACAATATAAAATAACATTTTAAATTAAAATTTAAATAAAATTAGAAACAGATAAAAACAATCGTCAACAATCCTTAGGGGATTATAAAAAAATATACCAAGATATTGATAATATTTCCATCAGGAAACCATACATGTTCAATTGGCACATGAAACTTGCAGCATTATTGTATTGGAATTTGACTTCCTGTTTTTCAAGTCCCGGACCATATCAATCACTGCACTCACACAATCTCGGCATGGGCTCTCGAACTTGTCACTAAGGCCAAAAATAATTCATTTTCCACAGTGTGCATATCATCGCAATAGATAGCTTCTCCGGTGGAATGCATAACACCTGCATGATGCATGATGGGACATCCTACCACGTCATGGGGCAACTGTGCAGGGTCAACATCCTGTTTCATAAAACAAAAGACAAATAGAGTTATTGGGTTGTTGTAGGTTTTTCAGGCTGTATGGCCATGTTCTAGAAGCATTCTCTCCTGACATTTTGCCTGCATCTGTGGCAAGCATCCTCAGAGGTTGTGAGGTTTGTGGAAAATAGGAAAATTGGGTTTCCACAAATCTCACAACCTCTGAGGATGCTTGCCACAGATGCAGGCAAAATGTCAGGAGAGAATGCTTCTAGAACATGGCCATACAGCCTGAAAAACCTACAACAATCCAGTGATTCCAGCCATGAAAGCCTTCGACAATAAATAGAATTATGCTTTTTTTATTCAGCAACATAGGCCACATTCTTATGAATTGAAAAATATCCTTATTATTCATCAGGAAGTACAAATCCAACTGCTAGTCATGCAGTTATGGTGATTAAGAATCTCAGGATAGATTCAATTTGGCCTATTGCTATAGGCCCCTTCTACACTGCCATATAAAATCCAGATGATCTGTTTTGAACTGGATTATATGTCAGTATTGACCAGGGGTCCTCAAACTAAGGCCTGGGGGCCAAATACGGCCCTCCAAGATCATTTACCTGGCCCTCGCTTAGGGTCAACCTAAGTCTGAAATGACTTGAAAGCACACAACAACAACAATAACAATCCTATCTCATCAGCCGAAAACAGGCCCACATTTCCCATTGAAATACAAATAAGTTTATATTTGTTAAAACTGTTCTTCGTTTTAATTATTGTATTGTTTTTAAGTATTATTTGCACTACAAATAAGATATGTGCAGTGTGCATAGGAATTCATTCATGTTTTTTTGAAATTATAATCCGGCCCTCCAACAATTTGAGGGACTGTGACCTGGCCCTCTGTTCAGGCCCCGTAGCCAGGATTTCGTTTTGGGGGGGGGGGGGTAAATTTTCAGGGGGGGTTTCGGGGGGGGGAGTTTCGGGCGGGGGCTGAGTCTGAGTGAAAGAGGGTCTAGCCTAGCAAACCTTTTGTATCGTTACCCCAATACCCCCATGCATATGCGATATATTGAGTATGGTGATCAGATCATGATATGAATAAACATAACAGTTTAAATAATGCACCAGTAAGGCCTTTTCGCGAACCACCATGAGAATTGGGGGGGGGGGGGGGAAGCCCCTCAAGCCCCCCCCCCCCCCCCCCCCCCCCCCGCCACACACACGCAACCCCACGCTCCACCCCCCCCCCCCCCCCCCCCCCCCCCCGGCTACATGCCTGCCTCTGTTTAAAAGATTTTGTGGACCCCTGGTATAGACTCATATAATCCACTTTGAAGCAGAAAATGTGGATTATCTGCTTTAATAATCTGGATTATATGGCAGTGTAGAAGGGGCCTAAAGCTTCTGGTGCAAGTTGCTCATGTGAAAAGTCAAAGGTTCAGAGCATCCCCATTGCTACAGAAAAGCTGCTTATGGTTTATCCTATGCATAATATTACTGACCTGATACTTTTGGGAACCTTGAGGTAGTGTGGTATCGAACATCTTCAGACTGCTCATATAGTTTGTTGCCATAACTCTGTGCCTAAATGAAGGCTGAAATATTAATATATATTACTTATGACAGTCATTCTTTTTAAACACTTATCCCATTTGTGTCTTGCTCTCCTCTCAAGATGATCACAATATTCATAAGAGCTGAGTGTGATTATCATTTTCTCTTTGAGGCAGCCAAGAAGCTCTGCTGCTGAGTAGGGGTTTCATCTCTCTCTCTCTCAAACACATACACACACACACATATACCAAGTGCTGCAGTCCAAACTCTCTATCACATTGGATCTTAAAAATATATGGATGGAGAGGAACACTCCAGTTAGTAGGCTCTTGGCATTTTATAACTGTTTCACTGTTGCTCTTTAATCTCCACATATTTTACCATGTTCTGTTCATATTAAGAAAGAGTTGTCCCCAATTCTCCCAATTCCTCAATGCTGTTTATTTTTTTTCCTGAAAGGTGTTTCCTCCTCCCAGTGACATCATGTGAAACTCTACCTAACCATTATAAAATGATACCAGAATGCTGTGCTCAAAACATTATCAGTAAATTTCATAGGCAAACAATTGCATAGAAAATTACCATGTGGTTAAATTGTTGCACAATCTGGAGATAGAATTTAAATATGAAACTGATGGCGAGAGTTTGTTTGTATTCCGTCATTCCTTCTGGAGTTGGAGGAAGGACTGCAATCTCCTCAGAGACTAGCCTGCAAGCTTCTTCCAGGGTATGTTCATTCCAGGTCCTATAAGAAGGAAAGTGTATTGATGATGCAGAATTCGAATAGTATTTTAGAACTGAATAGTATTTTAGGACTGGGTTGCTCTGATTTTTTTTGGCTGTATGACCATGTTCCAAAAGCATTCTCTCCTTACATTTCACCCACATCTATGGCAGGCATCCTCAGGGGTGACCTCTCAACATCTGAAGATGCCTGCAATATATGTGGGTGAAACGTCAGGAGAGAATGCTTCTGCAACATGGCAATAGGTTAAAGGTAAAGGTTGTCCCCTGACATTAAGTCCAGTCATGTCTGACTCTGGGGTGTGGTGCTCATCTCCATTTTTAAGCCGAAGAGTCCATAGACGCCTCCAAGGTCATGACTGCATAGAGTGCCGGAGCGATATCTATTGATCCACTCACATTTGCATGTTTTCGAACTGCTAGGTTGGCAGAAGCTAGGGCTGACAGCGGAAGCTCACGCCGCTCCCTGGAATTGAACCTGCAACCTTTCGGTCAACAAGCTCAGCAGCTCAGCACTTTAACCCACTGTGCCACCGGGCTCTGCAACATGGCCATACAGTCCGAAAAACTTACAGCAACCCAGTGATTCCAGCCATGAAAGCCTTCGACAACACGTTTTAGGACTTCTTGCAGGAAAAAAATTAAAACTCTTCCTAAAGTGGTAACACTCAGATCTGTGTTACAGATACGATAAAATGATTTAAAGCCAAAATCACAGATACACACAATATTACAGAATCACAGAAATACACAGTATGTTTATATGTTTTGACTTTGTTGTACCTCAGGGCTGTTAAAAGAGGCAGGTAACAAATAACATTTATCACCATCATCAAACAACATGTAGCACCTGAGTATAATTTCATAGCTTTTACAACTGAACGGGGAATTGAACTTTCATTGCCAAAGTTGAAGTCCCAACACTCACAACCCCTATACCAAATAATATGGATCACTTCAAACTGTCACAAGAACATATGGATTTTTTTTTTGTGTCAGGAGTGACTTGAGAAACTGCAAGTCGCTTCTGGTGTGAGAGAATTGACTGTGCAAGGACATTGCCCAGGGGATGCCCAGATGTCTGATGTTTTACCATCCTTGTGGGGGGCTTCTCCTATGACCCTGCATGGGGAGCTGGAGCTGACAGAGGGAGCTCAACCCATTTCCCCCGGGATTTGAACCGCTGACCTCTTGGTCAGCAGTTCTGCTGGCACTAAGGTTTAATCCATTGTGCCGCTGGGGGCTCCAATAAAGACATACATTTCAGTGCTCATATGATCATTCCATGTGTTCTAGGGCTGACCAAAAATACTGTCAAAGAAGAGACAGACGCAGCTGCCAGAATTTGAAGAGCTAGCTACTCTGGTCCCCCAGTGAGCATCGGAAAGCAGCTTTCTCCCACAGTAAAAAATAATTCCTATATGATGTGAACATTCCAATCAATCTGTGAACTAAATGGCTTTCTTTCAGGAAGCAAAGTATATATGGATAAGATAAAAAGGGTGACATTTCAAGGTTGATGAAGACAGAATCCATCAAAAAATATTATTATCAGTAATTCAGTCCTTTGCTCGCAGAATCTTTCCTGCCAAAAAGGAAAGATTATGCATTTATTCCATGACCTTTTAAGGCCACTTCAAGGTTCACTGTTTCCGTCATGGAATAACATTTTACATAAGAAGTCAAACAGTATCTAGACAAAGGTAAAGCTTACCTAAATTGCCTATGAAATTATTGCAACTGCCATGAGATAACACTGACAAATGCATTTGGTTTCAAAGAAATGCATACTTTACCTCCCTGTAAGCATCTGACAAGATTTTTTTGCACAGACCGTAGTAGAAGCAATGCCTCCATAAAAAATGCTGATGTCTGCAATGACATCTGAGCCTGGCTCAAAGGAGACCCTCATTCCGGCGTTCACAATAGGCAGAGCATTTTCCCGGCGCTGGGCCTGGCGGAATGCAGAAACAAACTCACCCTGAAAGAAATGGAAGGCTCACAACTCATAACTGTTAATTACTCTTGCAATTCCTTCAGGGTCTAAACTGTTCCTGTTAAGCATAACTGCAACACATTTACAGTTATAGTTTAACTGTTTAGCTTTTTAATAAGCACATTAATGCTGCCAGAGAAGATAAATACCATACCTAAAGGCATTCCAAATCAGCCCATGAAATACAGCTTTGCACATTATACAACACCACAAAAAGTAATGTGAGTTATGAATGTAATAAAAAATTCATAAGCCCTTGATTATAAATCAATAATTACGTACTGTATATAATTCTTATAAAGGAACCACCCCTTCTCAGAGTAGATGGTGAAAGGTAATAGTGCATCCCATGTGAACCTAAAAGAAGCACTGGCCCTTTCTAGTCTCTCAGGACCCTTCTACACTGCCCTATAATACAGTTCAAAGCAGATAGTCTGGATTGTATATAGCAGTGTAGAAAAGCCTCAGTGCTCCTGTTGGGGAAGTGCAAAAGCTACTGCCACAATATCCCCATCAGACATTCAAAAAGTCAGGGGAGTGCTGTAATGGAGAAAATAGAAGGGGCCAGTGCTTCTATTGCTTCTATTGTCAGGTTGTCCTACGACTGACTAACCTATTGCCTTTTGTGATCTATCCTGAGAAGGGGATAGTTCCTTTTTTGATAAGAATAAAGGTACAGTACTCCCATTAATCTATGGATAAATTGATCCAGGCTTTGGATCTAATATTTCTAGACTTGTATATAGGTAGATAGGAAGGTACATATATAGATTCAAAAGCATTCATACTGAAGCATGGCCATATAACAGCAATTTATTGTCCCAAGACACATAGCTGTCATTCCTGAAGCTACCATAGGAAACAACAAATAAGTCGGGCAAATAATCATGAAATCTGACAGCAAATCCAAATATAGACATGTCAGTCCCGGTAAATGCTCCCCTGCTATACACCTTTGTTTGTAGCAGATTTTAGAAATCTGCAAAATAGCCTCTGTGTCTCTGTTTATATATGTTGTATGTCTATGGCATTCAATGTTTGCCTTGTATATGTGCATTGTGATCCACCCTGAGTCCCCTGTGGGGTGAGAAGTGCGAAATATAAATACTGTAAGTAAATAAATAAGTCTACTTAAAAAAAAAAGACTCTCCAAGATGTGCTGAACCTCAAATGCGCTCATGCAGATATCTAAATGCACCCACAAGCAGATTTCTTATTCTTTCTCCTCAACCTACTGAAAATTCAAGCTCTTTTTAATTTCATAAACATCAGAGCAAAGGAATGATTGCAGAGAGTTCTCATTGTACTTGCTTTCCAACTGTGTTGCCACTTAGCCACCTGTGTGACCGTGGCTCCATTTGTTGACAGCTCAACCAGCTGTTTCAGGATTTTAAAAACGCGAACATGCACTGAAGTAGTCCACACCAGGGTATATGAACAAAGTTACGTGTATTGCTTGACTGCAGGGATATACAGTCATGCAAATATACACATTTTTCGGCTGAAATTGGGTTTTATGTGCAACTTTTTAATGTGTGTTTTCCACCTGTTAATCCAAATCAATGTGCATTTTCATAAAACATTATTTAGCCGTCACCCCCTTTTATCCCAAATTTTAGGGTATGTGTAGAAGGGGCCCTAAATCAGAAGGAAGGAACTTCTGAGGGCTTTGGATGTTTGCATGTGTGTGTGCACATTGGGAGACTTACACTGGAGGCCACAATTTGCCCAGCTTGGTCTAAGTCGGACATGAAAGGAAGTCCTGTTTAAATTTCACCATGTTTTTATCATAAGAACAAAGTTTGAATCAATGACATATCAGCCCATTGAGAAAGGACTGTAGTGTCAAGGCAAGGGGAAGTGTGAAGTCGGGGGAAAACTGGATGGGGTATTGTGGCAGAATGGAAGAGAGGTAGATGGGTAGAAGTTGTATTCTACTTTGGGAGAACTTTTAATATATGTGTGTTATGGCGACAATTTTTATGCTTATATTGTTTTGTTAGTCTTATGGTTATGTTGTTTTACTTTGTATGTTTTGTGATGTTACCTGGGAACCTCTCTGAGTCCCCTCGGGGAGATAGAGCGGTATATAAATAAAGTTATTATTATTATCATTATTATTATTACTGAGGTTCTTGATTGGAAGCATTAAAACTGGGTGGTGCTGTAAATCACATGAAAGCCTTCCAAACCTGGCATGGACACAAAGCCAATTATGTTTTGTAAACTGAACTGGGGGAGCTGTACTCTGAAGTTCAACACACAACTACTTTATATAAGCAAATACATATTTGCAGTTTGTTGTCTATTCTGGAGTACTTAATCCAAGTAACATAGAAACCAAAGCACAACAAAACCCAAAACATAGTGTCCCTTACCGTCTTAGAGTAAGGGATGTAAACAGACACTAAAATCTCATCTGCTGCAAGCGAAGCATTTTCACTCCCAGTCAAAAAATCTTCATCTAAAGGAATCTGCCGAGAGCCACCTGTAGTATAAATTACTCCAATCAAAGATGCAGCTTATCATTTCCTATTAAAGATATTTGTTTATCTTTAAATATAGTTATGTCAGTTATGTAAATTATTTGAGATATTTGTGTATCTTAACATCTAATTATAGCACAAATAATTTACATATTATGTGTAATATAATATGTAACTGAAGATACCCTGCTAAGGAAGAAGAGAATAATATGAGATTCTCACATAATTCCTGTTCAAAAATATTGTGTTTGTGTACAAAACACATTTTCTGTGCAGCAAAGAAGACATTACGTATTTTCTTAAAAGTTTCAAAGTGCAAACAGCAGTCAAAGATTACACCCCCTCCCTGCTCGCTTGTATTCTCACTTAAGAGAGAGAAAATTGCTGGAATTATTTGTTCTTGTATGTAGAAAGACAGAAAAAAATCCTGAAGATTTACATTCCTAGCCCATTCCAGTTCTAGGCCAGACTAGTGATTCTTGGTGCTCAGCAAATGTCAGTACTTACGTATTGATGCCAGATTGAGAATAGAGCAACCAGCAGCAAGAACGGGATTTAGATCTGATGATGTATGTCGACTGATTATATTCCCTCCTAAACACTGAAGAGAGACAGTGGATTTTGCATTTCACTTACATAATAAATATAATTCAGCATCCCTCTTGGAAACTGACTAAAGCCAAGTAATGCCCACATGTAAAGTATCATGGAACTCAACGTTCAGAAATAATGCCAGATTATTGAATCTTTAATATTTATCCATTTAGCATGCTTTAATACCAAAAACATACAGCCATGTTCCTGATTTGTCGTCCACCCAGGCATTTTAACTGTTGCAACAGGGCATGGAAAATCTCCACTTGTTCCCTTGGAAGCTCTGAGACAATTTTTGTTAATATATTTTTCATTAAGGACAAGCTGCAAGTTGCTCCTAGTGTTAATCCTGTGAAAACAAAACATTAAAATTCAAATATCTTCTAGTTGTAAAATACATATCATTTTGTGAGTATTTATGTAATTTGGTGATTCACTGGGACATCTATGGAACAGCTTTGGGAGAAAAGTTATCCCAGCCCTACGTATGAGGACATGAGTATCTAGTTCCATCTCCATCTTTAGTTCTCTGGTGTAGATAGAAAATAAGTATGAAGAGGAGGGATTCCCATTTGCACAGGTGCACTAAACTTGATTCCATACAGACAGGGAAAACTACCCTAAAATATACAGCAGAGCATCCAGAAATCAAATAGGATACTTAAAGTTGAGCAACGGCTCGCAGCTAGTAAAGAATGATGTGCCATGTGATGTGCCTGTAAAGATTTTATAGCTTAGGCAGGCAAAGATGCAGAGTTCAATCTTAAAAAGTTTATTTACAATAAACCATAACTGCATTTCTTAATAGTAAAAAATTGGGTCTGAGGTACTCTAACACCCATCTCTTCTAAGGTTTAATGAGAGGGGATAAACACCAATCACTGCATCTCTCTGACACACATGCAAAGAGAGATCTCAAAGCACACAGCACATACCAAAAATGTAGGAAACAGAAATCAAAGTAAAGACTTCCAGTAGAAAAGAATCTACACCAATCAGTAGAAAAGAATCTACACCAATCTACTTTTCTACTTCCAGTAGAAAAGAATCTACACCAATCAGAGTGAGAATAGAGAGAGAGAGAGAGAGAACAAAATAGATACATTCCAACTGTCATACAGGAGACACGGGGAAAGCCTATATTAAACTAACTGCTCCTCGCTGAGGACTTGAGACTTGGGCAGTGTGGAGTTGAATTCCAACAAAAGTAACCTCTTCTCTATAGCCTCTGAGAAAAGCAATGTTGGAGAGTCCAGGTGCTCCATACTTTGCACGTTCAAACAACCATCTTCAGGAATGCTTGAATAGGCCTCACCAGAATGGGGAATCACCAATACAGGCATTCCCTGGTTTATGAACAAGATAGGTTCTGTAGGTTTATTCTTAAGTTGAATTTGTATGTAAGTTGAAACAGGTACATTTTTAAGTGTAACTCCAGCCACAAATAGAGAGAGAGAGAGAGAGAGAGAGAGAGCTTTGGATACACACACAGACGTACATACACAGACGTACACACACACACATTCTTTCTATACATCAAGATAAATATACAAAACCCACCAGTTTTTGCGAAAATCACAGTGTTCAGATCAAAAATCCTAGTAGGAGAGATGATAACTGGGTGAAGAGCTCCTTTAAATGCCAACTCAGTTCCTAGAAATAACAATAGAGAAAATTTATTGATGTAATCATGAGATGAACCTCAGATAATGTAGAGGGAGGTGAGAGATACCGCACAGCTATACACTGGCCTGTTGACTGCCATATCCTACATATGCTTAGCCTGGAAAATATGGTGAAACCATCAACACATTTTCCAATCCCACCAATTAGGGATCCGTAATTGAAAATGCCTGCAAGTCATCCACACAGACCAAACAAACTCACAAGCTGCCTTCAGCATGACTCCTTGCATTGCAAAATACATAATTATGCCATTTTATTACCTCCTAGAACGCAGAGAAGAATTAAACTACAACAGTGATTCCGTAGGCATTCTGCCAGGCACAGAATCACAATTCTTCAACATAAGGGAAGTTGGTGAGGATGTACAATACAACACCTACATACATCTCTTGATAATATTTTGCATGCATTCCTTCCTGGTACAAATGTCCAAGTCTCACCCTGTGTTGGAAAAATCTTTTTTGAGTGACAAAAGGGAAGGGGCTGAGACCTGCTAAGAAAAGAACCCATAGCCAGTCACTGGCAACAGGAACTTCCAGTGGCTCAGTACGTAAGGGTCAGAATATTTTGCCCGCACACATGTAATGTGCTGTGGTATTATGTCCTTGGACTTCACCAAGGACTTCAACCCATGCAATATGTAAAGTGTTGGGGATCATTGTTTTTCACTTAAGCCTCACAATGCCGTCTGGAAATTAAACAAATGATTTTCCTACCACTCACACCTTTCCTTCTTTTTGCTTTCTTTTCAAATTAGCAGTTTGCCTTCCCATCACACGGGAGACATATTTCTTCTCCCACTGTCTCCTCCCTTTTTTTTAACTTGAAAATATACTGTGTTTGTTCTTGTGGAAGTACTTTTTAATGCATGATCATTAAACAGGATTTCTTCAATTATATATCATTATATATTATCATTTCTCTTTATAAGAACAGATACCTCTCGATTTGAATTTATCTTGATAACAAAAAGATAAAAATTACCGTTTCTTCCTCCTCAATTCCCAAAAGATTATGGTGGAAGAAAGGAATCTATACTGCCCATCTCGGCTCCTCCCTCCAGAATGATGTCATTGTTATGTTTGCAAGCGGGCAACTGGGAATTCCCATCATATGTTAAATTTGGGGTTTTTACCCATCTCTATGTGGGGAATTTAAAATGAATTATTGGTAATCGACTTAAGAATTGTTGGGGAAAATCACACTTTTGAAATGGCAAAATATCTTAAACCCACAGTACAGGCTTGTGTTATGTGAAGGGCTTCAGAAGTTGTTTCTTAAATGTGTAGAAACACTGCGTGTGATGAAGTCCCTAGTTCTGCACAGGCATTACTGCATTTCCACCATATCCTATTATTCTCATGTTATTATCACTTTTATGTCTATGTATTGTTTTATTTTATGTGCAGCACCTTGGAGTGCTTTGCGAGCGGCCCTGAGTCCCTTCGAGGAGATGGTGGCAGGATACAAATAAAATTTATTATTACTTATTGTAACTTGAATATGTTTCTGGGGCTGAGAGTGTGTGACTTGCCCAAGTCACCCATGGATTTCCATGACTGAGAGGGGAAATGAGACCAGAGTCATAGTCCCACACTCAAGTTCCTACACCACACTGGCTCTTCTCCAGCAATATAGTATTGCAATTTCTCCATGCAACAGTAAGAAGCAATGAATACAAATTATCAATATTGACATTTGTTATGGAATTTAAACACATTGCAGTGCTGTAACCTCATGATTTTACACAAAAAAAAAAATATCACAGTGGTCTCAAATGCTCCTGAATATCATAGACTGAAATTATTTTGGCTTTCTGCAAAGCTATTCTCGTTGTATACAATCATGTTTTTTATTAATATTGTTTTCATTACCAACAATGGTATTTCCAACTACAAGAGGTGCTTTGGGGAACTTGGATTTGAGCTCTAGCAGTTCCTTCAGACTTGATGGGGAAATCCATGTTGTCCTTTCTCCACGGAAACTGAGAGTTATTTTTTGCTGGTCAGTTGCCATTAACTGTAATGGAAAAAATATGCATTTAGCACTTATAAGCACCCTACTGTTCTACCACTTTCATCTCAACTGTAAGCATCCAGCCTGCTACTAAGCTTTCTGATTCTTTTTAACATGTCAGAAGCGACTCGAGAACATACTGCAAGTTACTTCTGGTATGAGAGAATTGGCTGTCTACAGAGACGTTGCTCAGGGGATGCTCGGATGTGTTACCATCCTGCTGGGAGGCTTCTCTCATATCCCCACAAGCTAGACAGATGGGAGCTCACTTTGTCTTGCAGATTTGAACTAGCAACCTTCAGGTCAGTAGTCCAGCCAGTACAAGGGTTTAACCCATTGTGCCACCGCAACTCTGATATATGTGAACAAATAGTTATGATATAGCATCTACTTTTGACATGCTGGTGCATATTGATAGCAGTGGTCATTCATCTGTTACAGACTTCCTTAATTAATAGTCCATATTTTCCTTCCACATATTGAACCAAACCACCCATATGTTTCAAATGGCTGAGGAAATGACATTGACTCTTTCTGAATCCTACTTAAAGACTAATTTCACTTTACATTTAATCACATGGATTGTCCACACTTGCAGTTTGCACTGGGTTGAATACCCCCATTGGAGCATATTAGAAATGGAGCAATTTTTTTTCTCATAGAAAAAGCAGGCGTAAACTGGGATTAATGAGGGACGGGGCAGGTTAAAGCCTTGCGACCCCCAAACAAGGATTCCAATCTGAATTAAGAACTCTCTGAATTCTATTTGTGTGTGTGGGGGGGGGGGGGGGGGGGGGGGGGGAGTCTTGCAGTCAAATGCTCGTTTCAGTGAGGGGACAGGTAGAATTGCTTGTGGCGATGCCCTCTGCCTTCCTAGGGAGCCCTTGTTCATGGTTTTGACAAGCTCTGATTGAGGATTAGAGTACAGTAGCATACTATACCTAAAACAGCACTGTCTTAAGTAATTAAAGCACTGCACACCTACAAACGTGGATTTCAGAGGCTCTGGGGTGCCTAACTCTGCATAGCATCAGACTCCCAACAAGATCATGAAGACAAAATTCCATTTTCTGAAGTCAACTTGTATCTTACCACAAGTTCAGGTGGAAAAAAATGCTTCTGGATTGAGTCCTGAGGCTGGAACTCTTCTGCTGCAAACAGCTTTTGGGAAATCTTAAGAAACACAGAAGGGACATGTGATCATAAAGATAAGGCTACCAAGTCAAGACATCTCCTGATACCTTTGTAAGCACCCAGCAACCTAGTTTCTGTTTGCTTTAGATCTATTGTTTGAAGCACACTCTCCTGTATGTGGCACATCACTACCACAATATCTATAAAGCTATTGTCCTCCCAACCCTGCTATATGCCTGTGAGACGTGGACTGTCTATAGACGTCACATGCAACTCCTGGAATGATTCTATCAGCGCTGCCTCCGGAAAATCCTGCAAATCTCTTGGGAAGACAGGCGGACAAACGTCAGTGTGCTGGAAGAAGCAAAGACCACAAGCATTGAAGCGATGGTCCTCCAACATCAACTCCACTGGGCCGGCCACGTTGTCCAGATGCCAGACCACCGTCTCCCAAAGCAGTTGCTCTACTCTGAACTTAAGAACGGGAAACGGAATTTGGTGGGCAGGAAAAGAGATTTAAAGATGGCCTCAAAGCCAACCTTAAAACTCTGGCATAGACACTGAGAACTGGGAAGCCCTGGCCCTTGAGCGCTCCAGCTAGGGGTCAGCTGTGACCAGCAGTGCTGCAGAATTCAAAGAGGCACGAGTGGAGGGTGAAAGAGAGAAACGTGCCAGGAGGAAGGCGCGTCAAGCCAACCCTGACCAGGACCGCCTTCCACCTGGAAACCAATGCCCACACTGCAGAAGAAGATGCAGAGCAAGAATAGGGCTCCACAGCCACATGCGGACCCACAAGGAATCCCATAATGGAAGACCATCTTACTCGTCCAACGAGGGATCGCCCAAGTAAGTAAGGCAATGTCCTGCCCAAAGGAAAATATTTTTTCCACTAAAAAATGAAAACAAGGCATCCTAACAAAAAGTACATGCAATAAGAAAACAAAACTCAGACAGAAACCGAATGATTCCCTTAAGTGTCTCTTGAATCTTCTTTGCATAATGATTAGTCAAAATAGTCCTCTCTGTTTTGGGCCCCTTATACACTGCCATATAATCCAGATTATCAAATCAAATAATCCAGATTATCTGATTTGAACTGGATTATATGAGTCTATACTGCCATATAATCCAGTTCAAAGCAGATAATCAGGATTTTATATTGCAGTGTAGAAGGGGCCAGGGAATTATAAACCAAAAAGTAACTTTTTCCAGGTTTGACAGGATAGGTTGACTTCCTCCAGTATTACAAAATATCAAAATGATTCTAAGGCTCCTGGATTATATGGGGCCTCAGAGTCCTTCCAATGACCAGGAAGTGGAATTAGTCTAAATGTCATAGTACAAAAAAAGTCATATTTCCAAGTTCTGCATTGGATTTCCACCTGTTTGCCTATATTTACATACTTCAAGTTTCAACATCCTAACAAATAAGTAAAAAATAAGCACACAAAACTTTTATAAATATAATAACATACTTCATGTTGTTTGCAGAGAGGGAATGTTTCTTCTATATCCATGCAACAATTCCCCTTCTCTTTTACTTTACAACAGCTGTCATCCTAAAACAATAAACATAATTTATTGTAAATCTGAAGCTCTCAAGTCTGACTTCTCTGCCAGACATACCACAGAAAGTTTAGGGAACCAAAATCTGTGTTCATGTTTCTACAACTCAAGATAGTGGTTTTTTCACAGAAAGGAAAGTGGTGCGAATTGCATATTGTGGCAAATTTATTCCTTCTTCTGTACAATTTTTGTTTTTGCAAAAGTTTGAAATTGTTTCCAAAATCTGCAAACCTTTATGATATTGGTATCCAATAATAATAATAATAATAATAAATAAATAAATAAATAAATAAATAAACACACACACACACAAAACTTTAGATACACTCTGGACTCCAGAACTTTGGATCCCTTCTAGGAATTCTTTAAGGATTTCAATACTACATTTATTTCAAGTCATCAACAACAACACCTAACATTAAGGGAAATTGTAAAACAATTGCAGGCAGACATTCCAACTTCTCATAGGCAGACAAAGGGGTGTACATATAAATCACATAGATCCTGACACTGTTAGTGACTTCCCCATTCCTTCTGAGTGGAACTGAATTGGGATGTTTTATTATATAAGGGCCTCTTCTGTACATCCACATTTTAACATGAGATTTCACAGGGCGTCAATCTGATCTTTTCCAAATCAATTTTTCCAGAGAAGCAGACAACAGCATCATATGGTTACATCCAACTCAAAATATTCATGCTTAATTTCATATAACAATGAACAAAGTATAAAGTCCAAAATCTGTGATGCAAAAAACTACAAACTCTACATTCTCCCTTTATGGAGAATTTTCAGTTACACATATTATTTCGCCTTGTTTAATTAACCAGTTATTTTCACATTTACCTCATCAAATGCATATAAATATCAGATATAGTTCTTTTATCAATCAAATGTGCTACACCATGTTTCAACCTTCCGAATGCTGTGACCCTTTAATACAGTTCCTCAGGTTGTGCTGACCCCCAACCATAAAATATTTTTCTTGCTATTTTATAACTGTGATTCTGTTACTGTTATGAATCATAATGTAAATATCTGATATACAGGATGTATTTACATTCACTGGACCAAATTTGCCATAAATACCCAATACTTCAAAATATGAATACTGGTGGGGTTGGGTGGAGGGATTGATTTTGTCATTTGGTAGTTGTAGGTGCTGAGATTTATAGTTAACCTACAATCAAAAAGCATTCTGAACTCCACCAACAATGGAATTGAACCAAACTTGGCACATAGAATTCCCATAACCAACAGAAAATACTGGAAGGGTTTGGTGGGCATTGACCTTGGGTTTCGGAGTTGTAGTTCACCTACATCCAGAGAGCACTGTGGACTCAAGCAATAACAGATCTGGAGCAAACTTGGCACCAATATTCAATATGCCCAAATGTGAACACTGGTGGAATTTGGGGATTGTTGTTGTTGTTGTTCATTCGTTCAGTCGTCTCCGACTCTTCGTAACCTCATGGACCAGCCCACGCCAGAGCTCCCTGTCGGCCGTCACCACCCCCAGCTCCTTCAAGGTCAGTCCAGTCACTTCAAGGATGCCATCCATCCATCTTGCCCTTGGTCGGCCCCTCTTCCTTTTACCTTCCACTTTCCCCAGCATAATTGTCTTCTCTAGGCTTTGCTGTCTCCTCATGATGTGGCCAAAGTACTTCAACTTTGTCTCTAGTATCCTTCCCTCCAATGAGCAGTCGGGCTTTATTTCCTGGAGGATGGATTGGTTGGATCTTCTCGCAGTCCAAGGCACTCTCAGAACTTTCCTCCAACACCACAGCTCAAAAGCATCGATCTTCCTTCGCTCAGCCTTCCCTAAGGTCCAGCTCTCACATCCGTAGGTTACTACAGGGAATACCATGGCTTTGACTAGGCGGATCTTTGTTGCCAGTCTGATGTCTCTACTCTTTACTATTTTATCGAGACTGGACATTGCTCTCCTCCCAAGAAGTAAGCGTCTTCTGATTTCCTGGCTAAAGTCTGCATCTGCAGTAATCTTTGCACCTAAAAATACAAAGTCTGTCACGGCCTCCACATTTTCTCCCTCTATTTTCCAGTTGTCAATCATTCTTGTTGCCATAATCTTGGTTTTTTTGATGTTTAGCTGCAACTCAGCTTTTTTGGGGGATTGTAGTTGCTGGGATTTCTAGTTCACCTACAATCAAAGAGCATTCTGACTCCCACCAAAGATAGAATTGGACCAAACTTCCCACACAGAACCACCATGACCAGTAGAAAATACTATGTCTTTGGTGACCCCTCTGACACTCCCTCACGACTCCCCCCAGGGGTCCTGATCCCCAGGTTGAGAAACACTGCGCTACACAGATGTGGTTTACATTACTTTCCTCATGCTTATTGTGGGAGTATCAAAGTAACGTCAAGGCCCCTTCCACACTGCCCAATATCCCAGGATCTTATTCCAGATTGTCTTCTTATCCCAGACTATATGGCAGTGTAGACATATAATCCAGTTCAAAGCAAATAATCTGTATTATATGGCAGTGCAGATCCAGCCCTAGATACTTTTTTCCCATGTCAGGAGCAACTTGAGAAACTGCAAGTGGCTTCTGGTGTGAGAGAATTGTCCGTCTCCAAGGATGTTGCCCAGGAGATGCCTGGATGTTATACCATCCTGTGAGAGGCTTCTCTCATGTCCCTGCATGGCAAGCTGGAGCTGACAGATGGAAGCTCACCCCGCTCCCCAGATTCAACCTGCCAACCTTTCAGTCAGCAGTCCTGCTGGCACAAGGGTTTGACCCATTGCACCCCTGGAGGCTTCTCCTCTAGATACTGATGATGGCTTAAAAAAACCACTGCAGTTTTTACAGTATATTATTTGGAATCCAGAGCCTGGCCACCCAATGAAACTGGCTGAAGAATAACAGCTAATTCTATAGTTCAGCTACAGAAAATGTAAAAACAATCACTCCCAACCAGGAAATTTCCTGAAAAAGTATTGCAATCAGTTTAACAGAAGAATGCTATGAAAAACTTACTTTTATTTTACAGAAAGTCTTGCATCCTTGAATGATTGGCCTGTAACCAGTACAACGGCAGAGATTGCCTGTAGGATAGATGAACATGATCGTGTTATCAACATAAATGTTTATTTAAAAATGTAGCTTTTTTTTTTCAAGTGAGCCCTAAACAGAAGGATATGAAGTGGCAGCAAGGTTTGTGAAAAATGCTTCTGTCTCACTCAAAATTACACAAGTCTTATTCCTAGTTGAGATGTTACATTTCAGTTAACTTGTGATACTGTTTTCCCCCTTTTTTGCAGGTTCTTATAAAAAATTATACATAACCATTACCATGCATTTTGTCCTTTTTCATTCCCTTCTCCCTCCCCACTCCCACCCCTCCTTCTTCCCTGTTGACAATGTAATCCTTTTTTCCTGTTACATGAGCCTTCTTTCAATTCTATCCCATTTTTTTTTCTTCCAGCTTTCATCACCTGGTTTAACGGCCTGTAACCATCTTTTAAATGGAGTCCAAATTTCTTTATTTTTTTCTATTTGTCTGACCATGTCTTTTTGCTTCTTATGATGTCCAGCTGTATTTAGTCCCATACATATTCATACAATTTTTCAAGTGCCCATTTCTTTTTTTCTTTCCAACCCTAAGCTATTACTGCATGTGCTGCTCTAAACATCATCATCATTAAATTTTGGTCTTAGTCCTTAACTCTTCTATCACCATATATTCCTATTAACAAAATTTGTATATTTACATCAAATTTTATTTTAGTATTTAATTCTACCTGGTTTAGAATTTGACTCCAGAATTTTTGTATCTTTTCACACTCCCACCATAGATGTGAATACCATGCCTCCCAACTTCCACCATGCCAACGTTTGGGATTTAATCCCTGACTTGTATGTGCAAGCTGAATTGGTATTCTGTACCATTTCGTTATTATTTTCTAGTTCTAATTCCTTGTATTTTTCTATTTTTATTTTATTTAAACCGTTGATTATCTTTTCTATTTTTTCTCTTTCTAGGCCCCCTTCCTTTTCCTACTTGTTTTCCATTAGTCTATACATAGATTCCTTATCTTCTATCATTCTTCCATATATTTTATGAAGTCCTTTTTTTTGCCTCCAAATCTCTCTTCTAATATCTTGTCTATTATATTTTCTCCTTTACTACTTTCTTTCTTTTTAATTTGTCCCCAAATTCCTCTTAGTGTTAACCAATTAATCCCGCCCCTTAATGTTTCCAATTGTTTCCATTCCATTAATTCCTTATTTTCATTATATAAATCTTTGATTTTACTATATCCCATCTGGTTCCATTTTTTATGATGCTTTCGTTCTCCTCATTACTTAAACTACCTATCGGGGCTTCCTTTGATAAATATGGCATTAATTTCTCTTTCCATTTCCCCCATATTTTTAATGCTATTTTCCTTGGGCCTGTTGTTTTTTTTATTCCCTCTTTTAAATTATTTGTAAAGATTCCGTAGTTTCCTTGACCTTTATTTACTTCATTCTCTGGGTTGTTGTAAGTTTTTTTGGGCTATATGGCCTTGTTCTAGAGGCATTCTCTTCTGACGTTTCACCTGCATCTATGACAAGCATCCTCAGAGGTAGTGAGGTCCGACCTCACTACTTCTGAGGATGCTTGCCATAGATGTAGGTGAAACGTCAGGAGAGAATGCCTCTAGAACATGGCCATATAGCTTGAAAAAACCTACAACAACCCAATGATTCCGGCCATGAAAGCCTTCGACAATACTTCATTCCCTATTCTTATCCACTTCTCTTGCTTGTCCTCTATCAATTCCTGAATCACTTTCAATTGAAATGCTTCATAGTATTCTTGTAACTTTGGTATTCCCCATCCTAATTCTTTATTTGACATATATAGTTCCTTATTTCTTATTCATGATTTTGTTCCCTTCAAATATCCACTTCCTTATTTCTCCATCCCATTTTTTAATTTTTTGTTGTGTAAACTCCAGTGGTAGAGTTTGAAACAAATACAGTAATTTAGGGAGGATGCACATTTTAATTGCTCTAATTCTCATTGAAATAATTTAACTTGTGATACTGACACTTCATCAATAATGGCTGCTTTTCAGGCACAGTATGACTCTTCTATCTGAAGGACTGGTATCCATGGTTTTATTTTCTATGTTCAACAAAACCTGTCTTCCCTGGGCATTTTTCTAAGTATTTCAGCCTAACTCTATGGTATTCTTGGGCTGGAGGTCCTTTAGTTCAATGGGGTTTAATATTACGTGCAATTTTATATATGTAGATAAAGTTAGGAATATATCCCCTGTGGATACTGCGGTCATAGTGCAGCTTCATCTTTGCTTTTATGTTTAATCAATTTAATAAGTAGAAATGTTGGATCTGATTTCATTGTAGTCACATGAAAACAGAAAAAAGTTAAATATGTTAGCAATATGCACAGATTAAACAAAAATCCGTAATGCTCAAATTTATCTGAGTTTTCTTGGGCATGCAAACAAATACAGTATTTACAAGTCAGGCATAAGTAATACTTTTAGTGCATGACAATTTCTTTCCTTTGTTCTGAAACATACCCACCAACGCCTCATATATCTGCTCTGAAGAAGGTTCAGAATAGTTTTGCAATAAAGTGTAGATGGACATAACCATGCCAGGAGTACAGAAGCCACATTGGGAGCCATGCCATTTAGCAATCCTTTCCTTAAATAATAACAAACAGCAGAAGATTAAGTTACTATTAAGCACACAAAGAGCTACCTTGTATTAAAACCTTATAGTGCCCATGTTGGCTGCAGATTCTTGGAGTTGTCAGCCAAAAAGTAACTTTCCCAATACCTTCCTTATACCACATCACTCCATTTCTCCATCTATCACAATATTACAAAGTTCCACCCCATTTTCCCAATATCTAGAAGACACAAATATAATATCTTCTTACCTGAACTGGATGAATTTGAGATTTGGTACTTCCAACACCTTCAACTGTTGTAACAGCAGCCCCATGCAGTGAACATATGGGAATTAGACAAGCATTGGCTGAATAATGCCTTGAGATTGTGACATGAAGAATCAAGGGCTACAAAACCATCTTTGAACATGGTTGCATATAACTCAAAAGGTAGAGAATATGTTTCATTAGTCTCTGAGAGTTGTGAAGGCTCACACAGTGCAGGTATACCTGAAGACCGAATAATGTATTCTACATTTGGAATAAAGTAAGATTTCAACCTGGCTTTTAGATACAGAAATGGTGCGACAGGAGTACCCATACGATACCAACAGTAGTGCTTGGTGTGTTTTTCATATCAGTAGGCTGGTGCATCTGCCCAGAATTTTAGTCTGGACTTTGGATGAACTATCCAAAGTGCCGAATTGATTTAATATAGAGATTCAACACCTTGGATAGCTCCTTTAAAATTCTGCCTAATACTTAAAGCAGATTCGCTATCTCTTTGACCAGGTAGTCACTGTGTGCTACCGATACAACTGTCCAAAAACAATATAGATTCTGATAGCAGTCTATTAGGAGAAGGAGCTTTAACTCTTTGTTTCTGCTGTAGTCCCAATCAAAAGTGTGGAAGACGCCTATTCACATAATAATAAGGGAAAAAATCCAAATAAAGAGATTGCAAACAGGTTGGGGGAGGGGGGATTTCACTAGGACTTAGACTGAACAAGGAATTAAAATCTCCCCCCCCCCCCCCCCCCCCCCCCACCAGACCAGGACCCTGTCAGAAACTCTTGTGCTTCCAACAAATATTACATATTTTAAAGGGAAAAAACATGCAACTACACAAAAGCACCAAACATTTCAAATGTTGTGTTTAATTTTATCATAGTTTTAAAAACTCAGTTTGTGTGCCAGCACCAAGGTGCATCTACACTGTAGAATGAATGCAGACTGACACTACTTTACATGCGATGTCTCAAAACTATGGAATCTCATGCCATTCTCTGCCAAAGGGTGCTGCTGGAGCCTCACCAAACTATAAACGCCAGGGTTCTGTAGCATTCATTCAAAGCAATTGAAGTAGGCCAAACTGCATTAATTATACATTGTAAAGGCTCCTTCAGAATTAGGAAGCTATAGCCTGCAACTCTTAACTTTCAAAACTCAATTTTAGTGTATAGTTACCAGAAACACAAAGTAAGGAAGAGAGAGAGAGAGCGCGAAAAGCAACAACTAAAACATTGCTTTGCCACATATCCATTTTGGGATAATAGTTAGACTTTTGGATAAAGTTTTTAAAAAATATACCAAAGTGTATTTCCTTCTTTGAGAACAGAATGTATTTCAAGGCGACCATTCTTCTACATACTAAGATCTTAATTAAATTAAGCTTGCAATATTAGGAACAATCCACAAAGGATACAGTATCTTCTTGAAAAATGGATTATATATGGATATCATTACAGTACAAGCACCACAGCCTCCAACTCCACAACCATACTTTGTTCCTGTTAGGCAGACTGAAAGCATGGCAGTTAAAGAAATAATTCATCAATTCACTTGTAAGTTATGTATACATATAACAATAAAATAAAAACACTGAAGTACACTGAAGTTTCATGTATCCATAGGGGAATCTTTGAACATATCTCCCACAGATACAAGAGTTATACTAGATTTAATTTTTTTTTTAAAAAAAAAACCCTATTAGATCATCTACTTTACCAAATGAAAAATTATGATCTGAAGCCCAAATATATCCATCTGCTAAATTAGCAACATCCAACAACAGATCTACGTCTCCCCTCTCTACCACAAATCCATGCCCCCCCCTCCCTATTTACTCTTGGAAAGTTAGGCGATCCTTCAGAGAAGATCTGTGGTCGAATAAAGAAAGGATGAAGATCCAGCTGGATGTGGAAGTCAGCTAGTTCAGTCACCCATAATGACTTTTTGTAAACTGTTGATTGACCTTGGTTGTTCAATGCATAGATCATGGTGCTGGCAGACAGGAGATGCTACAAGGTTAAAATAATGGTTTCTGTTGGACCAACAATGTATTTTAACATAATGGAGTAGTTTTCTTGGGATACCTTTTTGCAGATCCTCCCAAAGCTTTCTAGTGCAATAGAACTTTCTTCTCTCCCACCCACCACCAAACCCTCTATAGCAGGGGTCCTCAAATTAAGGCCCGGGAGCTGGATGTGGCCCTCCAAGGTCATTTACCCGGCCCTCGCTCAGGGTCAACCTAAGCCTGAAACTACTTGAAAGCACACAACAACAGTAATCCTATCTCATCAGCCAAAAGCAGGCCCACACATCCCACTGAAATACTAATAAGTTTATATTATATTATTCTTCATTTTAATTAAAGTGTATTAATTGTTTTTTGCACTACAAATAAGATATGTGCAGTGTGCATAGGAATTCATTCATTTTTTTTTCAAATTATAATCTGGCCCTCCAACAATTTTGGGGACTATGACCTGGCCCTCTGTTTAAAAAGTTTGATGACCCCTGCTCTATAGCACCTGAAAGCCGGCACTGAAGGTTCATCCCACCCCCCACCCCCGGGATCAGACTTTTGAGCTGTGGGAGAGGTTAGAGTGAAGATGGTCCTTTTTCAACGTGGTGATTAATTCCATCAACATAAATATCCCTTGTGCTTCACTGACTGGATGCTAACCTATATGGATACTCACATTTGTTGACTCAGAACATGCACACGAAACACAAATCTATCAACACACTAAAGAAAAGGATATGCTTCTTTCTCAAATAGGTCAATAATGTTGTTTCTGGATCAGCATTCTTCACTGAAATCTGCAAAAATTAGGAAAGGCCAGAACATTGAACATTAAATTCACAGTAGTTTTCTATACCCATTTACTTCCTGGATTGTAATGACAAGTTGAGCATCTCTTATCCAGACATATGAAATACTCCAAATATTAAATCTGGTGCCAGAAATACAGCTTAATGGTGTAACATTAGAAAATGTTGACCATTTCTACTACCTTGGCAGCCACCTCTCCACCAAAGTCAACATTGACACCAAAATACAACACCACCTGAGCTCTGCGAGTATAGCATTTTTCCAAATGAAGCAGAGAGTGTTTGAGGACCGGGACATCCATAGGGATACCAAGGTGCTTGTTTATAAAGCTACTGTCCTCCCAACCCTGCTATATGCCTGCGAAGCATGGGCTGTCTACAGACGTCACATGCAACGCCTGGAACGATTCCATCAGCGCTGCCTCCGAAAAATCCTACAAATCTCTTGGGTAGACAAGCGGACAAATGTCAGCATGCTGGAAGAAACAAAGACCATCAGCACTGAAGCGATGGTCCTCCGCCATCAACTCCATTGGTCTGGCCATGTTATCCGGATGCCCGACCACTGTCTCCCAAAGCAGTTGCTCTACTCTGAACTCAAGAACGGAAAACAGAATGTTGGTGGACAGGAAAAGAGATTTAAAGATGGGCTCAAAGCCAACCTTAAAAACTCTGGCATAGACACTGAGAACTGGGAAGCCCTGGCCCTTCAGCGCTCCAGCTGGAGGTCAGCTGTGACCAGTAGTGCTGTAGAATTTGAAGAGGCATGAATGGAGGGTGAAAGAGAGAAATGTGCTAAGCCAACCCCGACCGGGACTGTCTTCCACTTGAAAACCAATGTCCTCACTGCGGGAGAAGATGCAGATCAAGAATAGGGCTCCACAGTCACCTACGGACCCACCGCCAGTACACTGATCTTGGAAGACTATCCTACTCAGACAATGCGAGATCGCCTAAGTAAGTAAGTAATACAAAATAATGTACACAATGTATACAAACTTTATATTATGCACCCAAATCAGAAATCCCAAACACTTTTATTCTCAAGCATTTCAGATAGGAAATACTCAACCTTCTTTAGAATCCAGATGGTACTCAGAGTTATCCTACAAAATGTTTAGGTCCCTGCATGATCAGTGTACCAGATCAGATTTTCAAACTATTTCTTCTCTTGTTGTTTTTATATTATGATGAATGGTGAAGATTTCTGGAGACCTGAAAAGTGCATACCATTAATTCAGTTGTTCTCAACTTGTGGGTCCCCAAATGTTTTGGCCTTCAACTCCCAGAAACCCTAACAGCTGGTAAACTGGCTGGGATTTCTGAGTTGTAGGCCAAAACACCTGGGGATCCACATGCTGAGAACCACTGCACCAATTAGTTAACACTTCAGTGGTCCTAATAAAAGTATTGCTCATCTTTGATATTTATTTTGATATTATTATTATTATTATTATTATTATTATTATTATTATTATTATTATTACCCTGCCTTTCTTCCCATGGAGACCCAAGATGGCTAACACAGTGATTTGGGGGTTTATGGATTATACAGCTGTTTGAGGAGGGTTTTTTGTGTGTGACAGGTATGACTTGAGAAACTGCAAGTTGCTTCTGGTGTGAGAGAGTTGGCTGTCTGCAAAAACATTGCTCTGGGGATGCCCAGATGTTTGATGTTTTACCATCCTTGGGGGAGGTTTCTTTCATGTCCCCGATGGGGAGCTGGCACTGACATAGGGAGCTCAACCCGCTCACCCCAGATTCAAACTGCTGACCTGTCAGTCATCAGTCCTGGTGGCACAAGGGTTAAACCCACTGTGCAACGTTTGGGGAGTTATGCAGATAGATATATAGATAGAGACAGAGATAGATATATAGCTTTCAATTTAAGGTAGTCCAGATCAAGGCAAAGGATAAACTTGTTTTTTCACAGAGGATAGCTGAAGTAATTCTTTTTTTACTAAAGAAAAGTGACAATGCAGTGCAAAAGACAAAATTGCATATGGCTGTTGCTTGCTTCTTATTTGGAAAGAAAAAGAAGCACATACTTTCAATTTTGAACATGCTTGTTTGGAGGGGGAATATGTAACTGCAGTCTTAGGAAGGCCATACAAACCACATTGCTGAGAGGAGGAAAGTGACTGTAAAAGAATGGGAGAATTGAAAAATTCTGTCCTATTAATTCTGGGATGGTTACAACTTGTGATACTGAACAAACTGACTATTCTTCTACACATTCTGTAAAAACAAGCTCAATATAAAGAGACCTGTGATAGAAAGCCCAAAACAAATAAGAAAACAGATAGCATTGCTGTTTTAATATACAGAATAGAAAATGATTAAATGCGTTTGTGTTCTTACTGTTCATTAAAACTGCTTTACAAGCCATGTGGCAAAAAGGGAAATATTATCAAAAGCAGAAGCAAATAATTTGTTATTAGCATATTGTATGTATGCATCTATAGCATTTTCCCCTCATCTACTGGGAAGCCCTTCAAAGCATCATCCTACATATAAATACAAGCCATCAGTTCCTGTTCTCATCCTTATAATCTAAAACGGACATAAAATGATGGAGTCAGTGCGAACATAAAAGATTTCAGGTTCTTCCACAGAGAAAGGATGTAGTGTGTTTCTACCATTGCTTGAGAGGGAGCTCTGTACAAGTAACAACAGTGAAACTGCATAAACAGCAGTTACCTCGGAATAGTACTATTTTAACTGACTAAAGATCAACCGTATCAACATATAAATGATTCTGTACTGAAGGAAATTTTTGTCACCTGGATAGTTATTAATTCAAAAAGTTTTCCCCCTCTTAACTACAGTGACCCATCAAATGTTTTAGGACCTCATCAGATGAGTGCATGCACTGCAGAAATGGGAGTCCCACTGAGGCCATCAGATGACGTAAGGGCACTTCTGATGGGACTCCATGGAGCTCCATTTCCACAGTGCATGGAAACAGCGCCATACACCCTTCTTCAAGAGTTGGATACTACCTGACTCCAAGCAGACTTAAGACAGGAGAAAGCGGGGGAAAGATGGGTAAGGACATGAGATGGCTGGCCATCCTTCAAGACAGGGAAAGACAGGAAGGCAAAGGGTTAGACAGTTCCCTCTACTTTCCCCCACCTCGTCTGATCAAGTCCCGTGTGTATTTGCTTCAGTAACCAAGCAATACAAATGTAAAAACACTGTTCATACTTGTCTTACTGCAGTAATCACATTATTGTTGAAGTCATCCTCATTTTGGGGGATTTCATCTCTCTTTCCCACATATTCAGTAGAGGCTCCTGGCCTGTATAATTATTTGAAGGGCAGCAATTGTTTGGACGGAGGAATTGAAGGCTGATTCCTCCATTTCCATCTCATGTGCCTGAATCTTGTCAGTAATATAGATAAGAATAACAGCATAGTCTCAAATCTGCAAATGCCCACTTTTTAGGCTATTGGTTGTATATTGTCTGGTTCATGTTTCATGATGTTTTATATTTTATTGGTTTTACTGTTTTTAATATAGTTGACTGTTATAGGTTTTTAATTGTGTTACTCTGTAACCTTTGTTTATATTGGGCTTGGTCCCCATGTAAGCCGCGCTGAGTCCCTTCAGAGAGATGGAGGCGGGATATAAGAATAAAATAGTAGTAGTAGAAGTAATTATTATTATTATTATTAT